ATGGAAAAGAAAAAAAGTGAGAAACTGTCTGCATCAGGGTGCGACATCTCAACAGTAGCTCACAAGGGATGGAGGTGAGTAGGTATTAAAAAGATAGGATTAAAGGTATAGAGAGGGAGAAAGATGCTCTGGGACAGCGAGCGAGGACATATCGAGGGATAGGAGAGATAGGAAAGATGGAAACACGGTCACAGGAGTCCGAGCACGGGGCACCACTTGCGAGAGCTCTTGTCGGCGTCAGGAGATGGCGTAGGGCAAGTCCAGTAGGTCAGAGCTACGCTGTCGTCGGAGATCGGCGTCAGGAGATGACGTAGGGCCAGCCCAGTCGGCCAGAGCTACGCTGACGTCGGAGATCGCGAGGGCACAACCGGTCGGCACGGAATCCAGCGAGCGAGCCGCCGGGAGAGAGAGCAGCTAGGCGAAAGCGTATGCTCTCACAAGCATATATACGTGCGCAGAGTTCCCCTTCAGGGGGAGGGGTGAAGATTCGTCTAAGTGCCCCCCTTACCTATTATGTATATGCACGGGGCTGGCTCTGCGCCCCCCCCCCTCTTAGGTAACTATCTGCCCCCCCCCCCCCTCTGAGCACGCCTATGCTCACAAGGTACTCATTACATTACTTTGACGCTTTGAATGCCTCTTGGCATTCTCGTGACGTCAAGACAACGTCACGATTTCTGTGTCTAACTTCTGTGCAGGACAAGGATGTGATCGTGAGCCATGCGGATAATGCGGAGCCAGTGCCATCACTCGTCGAAGCAAGTCGTTGCAAGTCGTCGGTCCACTGTACGTGCGTCGATGTGTATTTAGGCGTATTTTAAAGCGGGAAGTTATTTTGGCTTCTGTTGTCCGCGACCTTCGAGTTACCTTGAGTCTAAAGCAAGAGTCGTTATCCAGGCAGCTCAGACGAGAAGACGCACCAAGTCCTATAGTTAATAAAAACTGTGCTTTTCGGGCTATACATGACCTCATTTATTACGCCAGATAATGCCAAAAAAAAGTAGCAGGTCTATCGCAGAGCCCCATCTCCCGATTTCAGTCAGTGTATGGGGCTGACTTTGCAACTCACCCAACTAGGAGCACCCCGCTTCCAATTATATGCACGCATAAGCGGCTCCCTTGTACGTCGTTGAGCCTGAACAAATGCATACGACAATAGCGGCTCACTCTGACCGCTTGAGTGTGTTGTCTGGAGAAGGAGACATTGTCGGACTCGTAAACTCTATGCTGCCCGGCACTTGGAAGTTGAGTATCGACGCGTCTGTCTTTTGTAGCGGGCTCCACTCCATGGCGGCGACGATCTGCTTCTTTCGGAGCCAGTACAAACTGGTACTGTTCTACATCTTCGTGCACGTCCTTGTGGAGATCGGCCAGTTTTATTGTGCCAAGCAGCTCATTCACAAGGAGCCCACAGTTGCCAAGAATATGTGTCTCGAAGCAAGCCGAGATGTTGTCCCCGCAGTTATGGTACGCAGCTAGCACCACCTTCGCCAGTGTTTCGGGTACGGCAGAGCGGGGGGCCGACATGTTCTACAGCGTCCGCAGGCGGTCGTCGCTGCTGTTTGCCGACATAGACAAGAAACATTGTTGCACGTGAAACTGATGCATCACAACGTCTCATCGCACCTGCTCTTCAATGACTCTGACAGCGTGAACGTCTCCGTGGATTTCGAAATTGACTACCTGCCTCTTAAAACTTTTGAGGCGTCGCGACGCTTCGCGCAACACCTTTACATGGAATACGTTCTTCAGAACCACTACGAGATTACTAGTGACCTACGTAGGCACGCTCAACGCGGTGGTCTTTCCTTCGGCCCTGAGGCTTCCTCTTTTCGTCTACACCGGCCATGTGCCCGTCCAGTTCGGCATGGCCACAGCGGGCACAATGCTGACCAGAAAAGTGCTACAGGCCGGCCTGCCTCGAGCGGAGAACATCATGCGCTTCCTACATTGCGCACAGCAGCTGATGAACAGACCGTTGCTGACGCCAATCCAGATACTGAATTTGTTCGCGTGGAAGCGGTCCCTTAAGGTCGCACATTTAGTCATAATAGACCAGTACGAGTGGCTGCAGAACGCGACCAAGTCAGAGTAGGACCTCAACTTGGCGCATCGCATGTTTTTTGGCAGGATTATGCTTGTCGACATGCAAAGGCACTGATGGCAGTGACTCTAGGTTGCGCTGCCTGCTTCCCATATTAACTGTGTCCAGAATTTTATGCGGCATTCAACTGCGCTTTTCTGGAGGTTGAAAGCCTACAACGATGCATTTATTGATTCCTAACAACTCTTGCATTGATAGCGCAGCAACTTCTCGTGTGCCTTTACAAACTACTGCGTCCCTGTATTCGTCCTTACCTCTTACAGGTTGTAACACCCAACGAGCGGTGGAACTTTGATCATGTAATCCGTTATTAATGATGATTTTATTAGCGACATTCGGCAGAAAATATCGTTAAAGTTACATTCGTCTTCATTGCATGCTCACCTGTGAATCACTCGCAGGTATTTTTGTAGACAGAAAGTATTTGATGCAATTCCACCCTGCGTGCATGCGGCCACCGACTGATTATTTTGCCGACCCCGGAAATCGGGTCTTGACCATTGTTGTTGTGAAGCCCCTTTCTCACATTTCTGCCGCACTAGTAAAATTCTGATTTCACCGCTAAGGTGTCACTAAACCAAAACTTTACATCCGTCATTCTGCATCATGCGGGATATTGCCGTTGATTCCGTGTGACCACTCCATCAAGTCACGCCAGAATGATGACGCAAATTTTGACGATCAGCATAGGTGCGCGCAAGGGGGAGGAGGGCAGGGGGCCGAAGCTTCTTCCTTCCACAATAGTCTTCTCCTATGACTGTTACTAGAAACGGTGCCTATGACAGCCGGGGGGGGGGGGGGGGGGGGGTACACAGACAATGCCTATACACTTACTTAATAGGATGTAGGGAGAGGGCGCTGTGATTAACCTTCGCACTCCCCCCCCCCCCCCGTCTTAAGGGGGGCGCGTGGCTGATGATGATTTGTGGCTGTATAACGGGCGAACACGCATAGGAGTGCCTATGGCGATCAGTGACCTCGTGTTCGTGATGAGAATAATTAATATCTAATCACGCGACTTTTTGCAATGTTCGTGATCAAACGAGAAAAGTGACGCCGACGGTCACTTTTCTCGTTTGTTGAGGCATGTCGTTGGGCATGTTCAGTTAACTCTACACTAGAACCAGAACCCATTTCGAACGACTATGCATAGGCGTTGTAGCGGCCGGTTGTAGCGTCTTCTGTTCGCGAGAAAAACATATGACAAATTAATTTTTATGAGGTGCGTTGCACAAGCTTGCCAGCGATATGGTGGTTATAGCTCGGATGCGAGCGATTGTGTTCACGTGTATGGCTTAGATTTTGCAGATGATAGTGCAGCGAATTGGAGTCTTCCACCTTTCTCTGAAGTACTTTTTTTCTAATTTTTGCTGCAGCAGCGAGGATCATGGAGATTAGGTGTTTTCAACCCTCACTCGCAGCCTTCGTTTTTTGACATATATTCTATCTAAGAATGTTGCTCCCAGCTGGCGGATCAGTTTTAGAAAAGGACATGGACTACACTAACCATGCGACCTCAATTCATGACCATCATCATAATCGTATTTGCCTATTTGTCCATGAGCATTTAGGACCCCGCCGACCAGCCACCGTCGCTTGCAGGGCCCCACCCGCAATAAGCACAAACGACCGAAATTCCAAATCATGGATGCTTATGCGGGGTTCCATTTACAGGTACGCGCGAGTCACGCTCAATTCGCTCTAACTGCGTCGATAAAGCAGCCTTCCAGGCATATATAGCTGTAGCATATCCGACGTACCCCGATTAGCCAGCCTTGGGACGTTTATTCGTCACGTCTACATGAGTCCGAACGACATGTCTTGTGCTGACACAGCTAGAGGAAGCGTAGCGTCCCCGTCGTGGCACGTGGTCGACGCGGCACAATCAGCTGTGAAAAAAACAGAAAGGGGGGGGGGGGGGGGGCAGCGCACCGCCTGCTACGACTCTATTCAGTTTTTCCCGTCGTCCCTAATACTGAGACGCGATCTCTTAATTGCACAGCTGCGCACACAGCAAGGGAACGCGCGGTTCATTTCATTAATTACGTCGCACACACACTCGCGGACAAGTGCATCGCACTCGCGAAATGCACAGCGGACGACGCGTCGTTGATTCCCTAACTCTGAGACACGATCTCTTAATTGCACAGCAGTGCACACAGCAAGAGAACGCGCCCCGACTTCTGGAACACTCGTTTTACGCTCATTTTGTTAATTGAAACGGCCAACGTAGCTCACGCGCTCGCAAAATGCACCACGGACAACACCAAACCCTCACAAAGAAGCCACAACAACAGGGGCAAATTTATCCACTAAATTTGGTGGCAGTCTGGCAACAACAACCCCAAAGTCTGGCAACTCATTTATGCAATGCCAAACTAGCCAAACAGAAGGTCCGTTCGATTCGCCTGCACCACGTGAACCAGTTCATGGGGTGCTGCACTTTGCCATTCGTTTCAGTGGTGCAGCATCGACGACCTCTGAATTCTGTCATTCGTTTCAAAAGGTGCAGAAGAGGTGCAGCACTGGTTCATAATTTTCGTGCACCACCTACTATGACGTTGCCGGCTTGGTGCAGCCGTGCATGCAACTGAGCAGACGACGCAGCACTTGGGCGTATGCGCCGTATCTGCCTCTACCAACGCTGTGTGTTTTGCCAAGATGTTTGCGCCTCATAAATTGTCCGCATGTGCGGTTCGTCATCGTTCAGTGTTAGCTGAACGGTGTAAATTAAGCGAAAAGAAATAAGGCCTGCACCTTGTCGGCACATCGTCATTCGTTTCGGGTGTAGTGCTGTGCCTGCACCGTTGAACTCACGCTGCACAATTCCTGAACTTCGCGTGCACAGCCGTGCACCAGTTCCGACTGGTGCAGATGAATCGAACGGACCTAGAACTTTGCCTCCATCCTTCCTCCGTGCTTGCCTCTCGTGAGGAATCGCAGGAATGGCAAAGCGGCCGTGGGTGCGCTGCTGCGTTCCTGGCTGCAGCAAAGGAGCGTTGCAGAGGGAGCGAAGTCGGGCTCTGTCGGTGTTTCGAGTGCCTCGCGAGGCCGCGGCCAGAGAGCTGTGGGAGAGGCGGCTTGAAATGACACCCGGGTCTCTGCGGGCCGACAGCCAGCTGTGCGAGCTCCACTTCGAGCCCAGCCAGATCTGTCGCGATTACGTGCACCACATTGGTGGAAAAGAGGTGAGGGGGGCACCAGTTTGCCACCGGATGCAGCTAAAAATAGAGCAAAGCGTTGTCGAGACGGGTTACTGAACTCGTAATTGCGGGTGCCCCGCGGAACACTTTCGACTCCCGATCGAATTCAGTGTGACACTCGTTCAACACTGTTGTCGAACGGTCACTTTTGAACGTGATCGAGCCTGGCCCATGTAAAATTTTCTGTGCTCGAACTGCAGATTCAATACCTCCATTGAATAATTTAGTAGTCACTAATCGCGATAAGCGGTGCACTGTGTGACACCGGTTGAAGATGAAATGCGCACAGAAATTTGTTTGAATTTCTAAACTATATGAGTAGATCACGAAGTACACAAAATACTGCCAAATAAGATATATTGTTAAAATCTAGATGCTTTTAGTACGCTCAAAATAACATAAGTGGAGTGCTTTGACTTTGTTGAAATATAATAACAAATAACTGAATTATCAGAAGGATGCATGCTTGCTTTTGCTAAGAGCTGGTTTTAAAACTTTGCATAGGACAGTGTACTCCCTTTTTTGAAGATATTCGAGCTACCTTGAAAATCTCTCTCTAGTGCAGAAGCTTCGTGCTTAATGAAAAAAAAAAAAACAATCTACAAAAGAAGAAACAAATGAACAAGGACTTATTGCATGCTGCTACTGCACCACATACTTCAGGTAATCGCCCATTGCATGATAAATGGCCTTAAAAGGATAGCTGCAATGCAGAAGTCCTTTGTTAAGTATGATTTTGTGTAGCTGGGAGCGGTTACACCAATCACAACTCAGTGCCTCCGGCCTTTATACATGCTGAACCAATTTGCATTCTGTCTGGCCACGACCGCATGGAAATGTAATTTTGTGTTCAGTGCTTTTTGTTGACATTTGTGAAGTCTCAAGAATGCAACATTGATGCACTTTTTCTTCCTTTATCGAGTCCAGGTGAGGATACCACGTGGAAGGGCAGCATTACTGCCTGGTGCGCTACCGCTGGCACCTCCTCATGGAGAAGAGCATCCGGATCCCAAGAGGCCAGGCAGTGAGCTCAACTCCATCAAAGAACATGTGCACAAGCTCTCAGCCATCCACCTGCCCTCCAAGTACTGGTCCTGCATTCGTTGCCACAACCTCGAAGGAGCAGTGTTTGCCACTTCGTCATTTAATCCTGCCACAAACGACTTGATCACTGAGAAGATGGTGGTTGTGCAGTGGGCTCCCAATGAGAGGCGAGAAACACTTGTGTGTGAGACATTTGTACATGGACGTCGCTTGGGGGATGTGATTGTGGGTGATCTGTGTGTCGTTCAGCAGGCACTCTGTATGCTGGACGCATTGCAGCTCTGTGCAGGTGTGGGCAGCATTGAGTATGTGCTCGAGCAGTTGGGTGGTCGCCTGACAGCTCACTTGGAGCACAGTCTAGTGGCACATAAAGGCACCTACTTCAGCCATGCATGCGTGGCCACTGTGGAAGCTGTAGGTATGTGGAGATATCGACCGCACATTTGGTATACATTCAGACATCTCTGTCACAACACAAGGGTTCCTAGACGGGCCACTTGGTTTAAGCACAATGTCAGTGTCAATAGATTGGCACAAGTGACTAGTGGCCGGAGTGGCAAAATGGTGACGTGCAGCGCTGTTCCCATGTGTGCTCATGCCGAGTGCTAAGCACACGGCTGCACAAAGTAACTCATCTTTTGTTTTGTGTGTCTGTGTGCCTTTTTGCACGGTCTTTGTGAGCAGCTGAGTTTCTGCGAAACCAACAATAGCTTTCAAAATGTCTGCTTTAGATAGGTTGCCTTCTTGTGGCCACCCTTGCTTTAAGCCCCGTCACGGTGGTCTAATGGCTAAGGTACTCGGCTACTGATCCGCAGGTCGCGGGATCGAATCTCGGCTGTGGTGGCTGCATTTCCTATAGAAGCGAAAATGCTGTAGGCCCGTGTGCTCAGATTTGGGTGCACGTTAAAGAAGCCCGGGTGGTCAAAATTTCCGGAGCCCTTCACTACTGCGTCTCTCATAATCATGTGGTAGTTTTGGGATGTTAAACCGCACATATCAATCAATCAACCCTTGCTTTGGAAAATGGAGTATGCCTAGTGCACTAGCTATTGTCATGCTCGGGAACGACAGTGCAGCATGTCCCCATTTCACCCCTCTGACCACCAGTTGGTTGTGCTGATCTCTTTCACTTGAGACTATAAATTGTGGCGAAGCAGTGCGAACGACATCACCATTGGAAGAGCAAAAGAAGACAAAAAGCTGCCCAGTACCGTGATTTTCAATGTCACATTATACAGATAAAAGAGCACTTGGGGCCTCCACTTTTTTCTGTATACTGGTCACTTTGTTGTAAAAATAGCTCACTTCAAAGCTCGCAATACTGCAGACAAGGCCATTAAGTGAAAAGATTTTGCAAAGTTCAATGGCAAGCTCGGTAAACAAAGCCACTCAATTTCTTGCACAAACTATAGCTAACACAACTTGCGACCAGAATGGCATTCTATTAAACCTAAGGAATCTTTTTTCTTGAGATCCATCTTTTGCGCACACTCAAGTATTAACATATCATCACTACTATGAGCTTCACTATGACCATTACAGGACAAAGGCCTATCCCAACGCTTATCCTATTCTGTGTGAGCTGATTCTATTTTATGCCTACAAATAGCCCGATTTCGTTGCTCCATCCGACTCTACGCTGTCCTCGCCTGCATTTACTATTCCATTGCTCTAATCCACCACCAGTTGTCTGTCTACGTGGCTGGTAAAGGTCCATTTCTGCCATTTACATTCAACTACAATATTGTCTACCTTTAATGTTATGCGTATCATTGTTTATAGTAGACTATATGGTCCTTTGTCTCAAGTTTCTTTGTCACCCTGCCACTTTTTAGCCCTGTGTGTTAAAACAGGCAGTATGTAATGATTCAATCAGTGTTGCCTAAATTACCATTTGCACTTAGTATTTACAAATGCAAGCATGATTAAATACTGATTTGTTTAGCCAAAATGTAGTGAAAAAATTGTGTGCAGGCTATGCAGATTTGTATTAGACGGCTCGAAATAATTGGCTTCTTGCACAAACATTCATTTAGTAACCAATGCATGTGGGCAATATTTGTAGCTGCAGAATTATGTTTATCACTTGCACTTACTTGTAACCCTCTAATAGTCATTGATATTTATATTAAGCCAGACATGATATTCAAGTGGACAATTCCCACATCAAATAGGAAGAAAGTAGAATTTGTGTTCAAAATTTCAAATATGCTCAAGCTTTTATTAAAAACATCTACATTTTCCAGCTTCTTTCGAAATTATGAAGGTTGCAGGCACAAAATGGAATTGGTTCGCACAAAATAAGGTTAACTTAAGATCACTGGGAGAGGCCTTTGTCTTGCAGTGGACAAGGCTTGCAGAAAATTTTGTATTGAAATTTGATGATATCTCCTGTGAACATAATTCACATGGGAAAAAAATGTTTTTCTATCCTTCATTTATTGACTTTTGCAGGTGCATCCTGTGCTTCTTGCAAGCTAGCCAGGAAGGCTGTGCTGACCAAGAAGTCTGCGTTACTCAGGAAGAACTTCCTTGTGTCATATGTGGACAGCTCTGCAGAGACTAAGTGAGACAAAGAGACTGCTAGAGCCATGGGCAGCAAGAACAACATTGTAAACCAAACTAAGAGCTTTTTTTTCTTTTCACCAGTTCAACTGCGGGTGGAGTCCGCTTCTCCTGCATTATCCTTCCCCCTCAAAAGTTCACTTGTTCATTTTTCTTTTCTAATTGGCATTGCCTGCTATATGTTTATGGTGCGGGCTCAGGATTTGTTTTTCATACCTCACAATGAAGATTGCTAAAGCCATGGATGTGGTGGCAAGGTCGTGAAAGAGGCTTGCCGGATGGTTGCCTTCTCATTCTTTGTGGCGTCTACTCAACTCGAATTGACTGTGAATTCATGAACAAAAGTGTGCATATTACGTCTACCTTGTATGCTTTGTAAAAAAAGATTAAAAATGGTATTAACTTCTGCATGTTACTACATCTGAGTACAAACATTGTTGTGCCTTGCTCTGGATCAAGCAGATTAAATATTGAAGAATGTGCCTCTTAAAGGGACCCTGCAATGCTTTTCCAAGTAGCCATCCAATGGATTCTGTTATCTATCTCTAAACTGAATAGGTAGCTTGAAATAATTGAGGTCTACACGTGAGTAAGGATATAATGAAAAACTGTATTACATGCACATGTACAAGAGAACACACTTCTCTAGTCAAGTTCAATGTTCAGACTACCCCACACAACCAAATTCTTTCCTTGAGGAGAAAGCAGCCTTTTCTCTCCTGTGTGGGTTTTCACTCCAGTGAGTCTGGCTCTCTTATGTCAGCGGTTCCATCTTTGCAGTTTCGAGTTCTGCAAAAGACTGCCTTTTGTGGCTTGTTATTTTGTCTGGCTTTTGGTGCTCTCGGAGTTTGTTACAGCTTCATTGAAGGAGTTTATTGGTTTGCGAATTGACCACCACGAAATTTTTTATGAACGGAGTTATGGAGATTTCTCACACGCAGTGATTGCATTCTCTCTTCTCTTGCCCCGACGAGCGCACTGGAATCTAAGCAGGGAGAGGGAGAAAGAAGTTTTGTCTCGTGCGAGCTATGACTTTGGGCACTCTTTTTTTATTCGAACAAGTGGTGTACTTTTTGTATGAACGTTAGCGCATGCACAGGCACGTGGTGGCCTCTCACAGCGGCAGCAGTCACAATACAGCTCGCAATGCTCAAATCCACCAATGGCTGTGAACTTGGGTTTATGACGTAGTAATTTCAGGCATGGTATGTAGAAAAAGCATGGAACGATTTCTAGCTGACCTTGAGAATGAATTGTGAATTCCAGGCCGCCCACTACGCCATAATGTTTGGCTTGTGTGTTCTCAGAATCCTCGACTACCAATTGGCGATGTTTTCTGACGATGCTGGAAAAGTGTTGCAGGGCCCCTTTAATCAGTTGAATACTAGTTTGACTGAGCAGAGAATTCTTGTAAAAACGCATTTTATGCTATCTCCTCCCATGGCAATAAAAGGTTTTAGTTTGAGCACATAAAAAGTATGGTCTATGGCTGTGTGCATACTCATCATTTGGTAGGCAATACAATAATACTTGCATTGTAATGTATAAAATCAACAATTCTTTATTGTATAAATTAAGGCTGCACATTAGGTGTGCAGGAACAAGGCTGGATAGAAATCAGGTTAGCAGAGACTAAGGCTACGCAGTTTCATAAACTGCTTTAAATACCATAGATTCTTCGAAAACAGCTTATAGTGAATGCATTCATATTATAAAGTAATTGAGTCTACATAATGCAAAGTAGCCATGTAAACTTGTCTATTATTGAGGATCATAATCCTAAATACCGGACAAGAGGTCACTTAATAATAGAAAGCTTTTCCAGTGGTTACTACAGCAGCGAATGAAAAATTTTAAAACAGGAAGCTTTGGCCTGCAGTTTATGAAGAGAAAGTTATCCGACAGATATACTAGGTTACTGAATGAGTACCTTTCTAATGCATTTTTTTTTGTTATCTACAGGCATGGGCATGTGCTAGCATTGGCTACTGGCATGCATGGAATTGCAGATTGGCCAATAGCTGCACATATTTCAATGTATCTTATGTAATCCAATAAATCTGACACGATGCTTGGAGGACATTGCATAAAACTCATATGAGGCAAATTTTAGGTATAAAATTAAGAAATTATAAAGTCTCTAGGCAAGGTGCACACATGATGGCTTTTCAATACAATATTGCATGCCTCAGTATGTCTATACCTCTTAAATAAAAGATGCAGAGCATGGGATGACCAAATTTTTTGTACAACTTCTACAGCACTGCTAGTTTTGCATGAAATTGAGGGTACTGCCTAAAATGTGCCCTCAAAATGATATAGCCTGCTATACCCTGTGATAACTCTCTCATAATGTGGTCATTGCTTATTAGGTACTGCTTATCCTACTTACAGGGCAACACCAATGTGCCCTGCCTCCATAGCCTTCGCTCCGATGTCAGGGTAAGTTGTCGATGAGTCTAGTACAACTCCAAATGATAAGTGCAGCTCGTGTGAGGAATCTGATCAATGTCTGCCTAAGCCCAATATGAACTCACGGAGATAGATGCATGCTGATGAAGTCACTGCAGTGTTCCCGTCACTGCTGCTGAATTGTGCAATACAGTAAGCAGTAAGAAACTAAGACCACATTATGAGAAAGACAGAAAACAGATCGTCCGAAAATCAGAATGGATACAAGAAAATTTGGTCCCATTTCGCCTAACTTAAGTAAATGCTGGTTTACAGGTTACAAGTCTCGCAGGTTTCGTGAAGTCGTTGGTACAATACAATTATTGTTCACCTTACAAGAATGCCTTCCTTCCAATTTTTTAAATAGCACCACATTTACAGCAAGCCTGTATTCCAAAGTAAACGTGGCATTCATGGCGTAGTGGGTGAGTGTGTGGCCACAGATGCGTTTAGTTTTCTAAAAAAAATATATCTGTAATATGGCCTTAAAATGTTCACTGAACCATCGAAACATTTTCCCCATTTACATTTTCGTGTAGACAATATTTGAAACGTGTTAATGATGCGAGCGAGCAAAACCAAAATTAGCCGCAAGCTGCTGTTTTATTTGCAGAGCAACACAAATGTGTGGAAGTCCTGCCTCTGTAGCCTTCGCTCCAATTTCAGGATAAGTTGCCACTGAGTATAGGACAAACCTAAAAGGTAAGTGGAGCTCATGTGAGGTATCTGATCAATGTCTGCCTGTCACCAGTATAAACTACCGAGATGGATGCATACCAGTGAAGCCACTGCAGTGTTCTCATCATCATGATCAGCCTGACTACGTCCACTGCAGGACAAAGGCCTCTCTTATGTTCTGCCACTCAACTCAGTCCTGTGCTTGCTGCTGCCACTTTATACCCTCAAACTTCCTAATGTGATCTGCCCACGTAACTTTCTGTCTCTACCTCACCAGCTTGCCTTCTCCGGGAATCCAGTCAGTTACCCTTTATGAACAGCAGTTGTCCTGCCTACGTGCTACATGCCCGGCCCATGTTCATTTCTTCTTCTAGATTTCAACGATGATATCCTTAACCCCGGTTCGTTCCGTGACCCACTCTGCTCTCACTGCTGCTCAATTGTGCAATACACCAAACAGTAATAAACTAAGACCACATAATGAGAAAGACGGCAAACAGATAGAACATCAGAATGGATACCACAAGATTGCAAATGCAGACGGGGGGGGTCTGCCAGGAATTAAACAGAGTGAGAAACTTAAGAAACTTTGTGGCATAAAATGGAAGCAGCTCACAGGGGATACACGAACTTGGAGATAATTGGGAGAGGCCTCCGTCCTGCAGTAGACATAAGACAAGCTGATGATGGTACAGTAGGATCGGCAGTTTCTGCAATATGAATCACTACACGTGACATTTACAGTACTACGAGCAGGCAGCTGCACAACACAATCTTATTCGTTCCAGCACACACATTATGTTGTACATACCACATGCGCTAATAAGTGGTAAATTCATTTATCATGCTTCATAAAGTCCGCAGGAGCACTGCGAAGAACGAACACCGCCTCTCAAAGATGCAGAGCCAGTACTTTGCTGCACTGGCAGCTGATTATCAGCGTAAGGTTTCACGTTCAACACAAGTCTCGCCCATTCGAAGAAAGCCCTAGCCTTCTTCCTCGTCGCTTGCTTCAGCATACACCTGATCATCGTGCGGCAACTGCGACGTGAACTCGTCCAGCGGCGGCCGCGTGAGTCCCAGCAGAAACGCCCGGTGACGCTTGCTGGCAGCGTCCGTACACGGCCGCGCCGCCGGCCGGCGCTCGGGCGGCGCCACGTTGCTTGCCAAAGGCCGACCGCCGGCTGCCAGGGTGGCGGCGACGTACGTCGCCTCCAGGCCGGGCACGCCGTCCAGGCGTCCCACCAAGGGCATGCCTGGTTCGTCGAGTTGCAGCCGCACCGTTAAGCCCTCGAAGAATCCTAGCGCCGCCCGCAAACCGCGCAGACAGACCGTCAGTTCGGCAACGTCACCGCTACACTGCAAGTCGTCCAGTTCGGCGGCCTTGGACGCTCACGCTAGTGCGAACGGAACGCTGCGTGTCGGCGCCCTCCAGGTGCGTGAAGACAGTCGAGCCGGTCGGGCGATAGCCGCAGCGTCACCTCGGGCACGTTCACGGGAAAGTTGCCCAACACGTCGGACAACAGCTTGGCTTGGCCGCACACGCTTCTCGCGTACGAGTCGGCTCGGAAGGAGAACTGCAGTTCCTCGTACTCGATCAGCTGGCAACCAGAAGCGCTTCGTCAGACCGCGCCGAAAGCGTAACGCGACCAACTGCCTGATCGCCAGGTCAACTCGACGATGCACTTCTTCGACTGTCCGGTCAAGCGTCTGCACGGATCGGAAGGCCAGCAGGCTTGATCGAGCGCTCAGTTTACCTCGGTAGCCCTCGCTCTCAACCTCAGCTTGCGCTGAAGAAAGTTACGTTCAAAACTGAAGCACATATACGAGCTTCGAGAGGCACTGAACGCTTTCAGAGACAGTGTGCGCTCGTCGGCGATCACATACACTTCGTCGCCGACTTTCGTCAACGTTTGCACGGCGCGGCCGAATAACTTGACGTTTGATGCCGGAATGGTGTACTTCATGGCGTAATAACGTAATAACTTACGGTGGTGCTGTACTGCTTCGTCGCTGATTGATTCAATCGCCGTACTTTTATCCCGTGTCATCACACTACTTCACAGAAAGTTGTCTCAAGCACGGCGCGTACGGTTTCGAGTTCCCGCCCGCGCTATGCTTGACTTGATTTGGTTTCTTTTGCATGGCAAAACGTCTTCAACATAAACATGTTGCAAAAAAAAAAAAAGCAACAAGAAAGCTGCGCATTTAAAAAGACAAATTATTTTAAAAATTCAAAATAACTATAGCGAGTATGTCCCGAATCAAAAGTTTTTTTTTGGTTTCAATCAGTGACTTAACCTAAGATGCTTTTCTGCGAATACAAACGCTTGTATAGACGTTCTTACTGAAGTTAACGTTGCTGAAGTGAACCGACGGGTCTGCGTTGGTGTTTTTTTCATTTTTTTTTTCAGGCTAGGCCGTGTCGTCTTTAATTGAAAACGGTACTTGAATTGAGATTGGATGAGTAGCGATTTATTGCGGGGGCTGCAAGCCCTGCGTTAAAGCGAGCTTCGTTAAATATGTCGCTGTGAAAGTGCATATAAAGAGCGATCGACAGGCGCCAGCTGCGACAAGCCGATGTTTCTCAAGACTTCTTCGTGCCAACTAGTTGCACCGCCACAGAACTGTACAATTCTACTGCGAGCCCAATTCAATAAGGGCATGGTTGTACTGTGAGTGCTGTGCGTCGATTGAATTTGTGCGTCAGCGTCAAAAATGTTTACGCGCGCAGCGAAGGAACTTCTGCGCAATACCATCAGCAGTGTCGACCATCACAACAGGGTAAGCGGGCAGCAGCTGCAGTTCGCTAGTCTACGTTGTCCTGTCGCGACGCTTGTCTGGGAAGGCAAGGCTGCTCGACAGATCTTTCTGTTGTCGGTCATTTCTATGGAACGCAATCGTAGTCTAAATTCGCTTCAGCTTGACGGTCGTGGGTTTACCAGAAAGTGTCAGACGCAGTGCCCGTTGAACGAAATATCTCGTGAAACGTGACAGCAACTTGTAGTTGCGTACCTTTCACAACATGTTGCGCGAGTTTTTCAATGCAGTCATTGTAAGGAGATGCTTTAGTGGTACCTGCCAGTGGGAGACATTTGACTTCAATGTGATTTACAGGTGCATGCGTTCGGTGCATTTGTATATATATAAACGTGCGGAAACACGTTAACATGAACTTTAAAGCCCTCAGTGACGACTAGTTCAGTACTGTTTCAGGCATGCTCTATTGACCTACGTAAACACATAATCTCTCTTCACTTATGCTTCGATCAAGACAGCATTTACAGATTGCGTGCTTCTAGATTAAGAAGCAGTTTTAATCACTTACCTTGACCTTTTCAGTGCATGAAGTCGCTAGTAATAGCTCCGACAAGAACTTGTCTGCGTTGGCTTAACAGGAAAGTGTTCAGACAAGAAGACCCTCCTGATTGTTCATCACATCAAGCATACACATTGCCGTCTTGCTTGGCCGTCTCAGAGCCGAAATTTGCTAATGTGAAAAAAAAAAGAGAACTGAAAAGTCTAGTAAAATTATTCAAGAGCAACTTTTTGTGAGAGTGCTATGGAGCACCCATATAGATTTTATATGACTTTTCTAAACTGGTGCATTTTGTCTGAGCAAAGCCTTAGTGGCCAGAAAGTCTGTGACTGCAAGAAAAAAAAGAAGTTGGGAGTGTGGCCACTTCTTGTTGCACTAGATAGCCATTGCCTTGTGGTGCGCAGGTTCTAGAAGAACAAGAGATGTGGCGCCAGTGGGAACTAGAGAGAGGTCTCACCATGATGGTGTCTGACGAGGCTCTTCGTGCGCGCCAACATTCCCAGCGGTCCTTCCAGCGAGGATCGAAGCGTCAACGGTCCCCTGAGCCATCACTGCCAACAGCCAGTAGCAGTAGCTCTCAAGAAAGGTAAGATGTACTTCGGAATTCAGCACCAACTTATGGTGTTTCGCTAGTGCATTTTGCGGTGTTACAGCTTTCACATTGCATGTGGCTGCTGCCTGAACAATTTTTATAGTGAGGGTTTCATGGCTACAGAGATGGTCTTGCTTTTAATAAACTGGAAGCCAGCATTCTTTGTGTGTGCATCGCAGGTGCAGGCAACATACCTTACTTATTTCTAAAGTAAATGCGAGTTTTGTTTTCCTGAATTTGACTGATAAGACACAACCAGCAAATACCACATTTATTGCACTTCATGCCTTTCAGTGGGTGTGATTTGCATAGCTGTATTTATATGCGTAATAACTGTGGTCATGGTTAGCTTTCGCTTGATGTTACCTGTTACAGAATACTGGAACTGTTGACCACAGTCAAAATGCTTGTTGCAACACCTTGTGAAACATCATCTAGGTACAATGTATTCGAAATGTTTTTGTCTTTGGAGGGTCAAAGGAAAATTATAAGCACACAATGATGTAACTACCCAGACCAAGAGTTAAGTAAGATGTTGTACTCGCACAAGGTGGCTTTGCCAGCATTGTTGCTGCTGTTTTTGCCCCTTCTCCAACATGGTGGCTCCATGAAGGGCGACAGGTTTACATTCAGTCAAATAACTGTCTGTTATAAATTTTACCAGTGCGTTCATATTTTTTTGCTAACAGTTAAATATATATTGTGATGTCGAAACAGCCCCTTTGGCAGTTTCCTGTCCACTAATTCTTCTGGCGATGCATGCACGAAAAGTTAACATGCTATTCGCAGTGCACAATCTGAGCTGCCCTGATTGTGACTGAATGCCATGATTGCAGGTGGGGCCACAGTGGCTATCGAGAACTCTACCCTGAGGAGTTCAGCCCCCCGAGAGAGAAGCGGCAGAGACGGTGAGCATTGCTCTAAATTAGCTACAAACAGCTACTACTGATTGCACAATGCTCATCGATAGAAGAAGTGTTCAGGCATATTATCAGGGGATAACAAGCGCCAGTCAATTGAGGCTGATTTAGCATTCTCTGAAAATGCTTCAGCATTTCCTGGGAGTGGTTAGTATAGGTGCAGAAAATCACTGTTGAACCACTTCTTCAGAGCTTGTGCCCGATCATGTCAAGGATGAAAGATTACATGAGCGTTCAAAGTCAGGCCTGTTCATATGAACCTATCGTAAAACAGAGCAAAAGCCAAGATGCAGGCAGCTTTGTGTGTGCCCGTGTCAAGGTTCTCATACTGTTTTTACAAGGATTACGTGCAGGGCACTGTTCTTTTTAAAATTAATTATGCTCATCCTCATGCACAAGGAATTAACTAGGGTCATGCTATTTCTGTAAAGTAACTGTGTTATGCATGTAAGAACTTTCTCTGCTTTGGTGTCATTTCTGATATGACGTGCCTAGTGTCATGGCAGTGCAATGCAGTTGAAGAATTATCATCTGCTTAAATGCAGGTATTTAATGCTAGCACCACCATTTGCAGCCATTCTATTTCTTTTCCTGTTGTGCGTGCTAGCACTGCAGTTTCACACAGCGTCACCAGACATGCTGTGATCACATGCTCTTGTGGCTCATAGTGATGGCCTAACTGTGTCTTGGTGAGCAGGTCCTCCAACCGGCGTCGCAAAGGAAAGTCGCATCACCGCCATCGAAAGTCACGCCACAAGAAGGCCTCCAGCCAGGAAGGTCGTCGCAGCCGGTCACGTCACCGCCACCAATGCAGGGACTCCTCGACCAGTAGTAGCAGTTCAGACAGCAGTACTAACTCCTCAGACAGCAGTACCAGCTCCTCAGAGAGCAGTGATGGTGAACTGGTCTGGGAAGAGCGCAAGACTTGAACTGCCATGACGTGGTGATACTGTGAAAAAAACTGTTACACACATGGCTCTGTATTGCAATGGCTTGCGAAGTTCAAACAGAACAGCTTTCCGACCTTGAGCTGCATGCAGTGGCCTGTGTGGCTCATGAATCTCCCGAGTGCCACTAGTTTTCTTTCCCCCACTCTGTTCTTTCTATAGAAAGCCTTCCAAGTTTATGGCTTGTGTTGTTCCCGTGACCAAGGAGCAATAAAATAAAAATGTGGTGTACAAGGTTCCATTGACTGCATGAAGGGCGTACAAATCACTGTATGCGAGAAAGGAAGGACTAAAATACTACTGTGGTTGGTGAATTGTACTGTGTATTATTACCCTTACACACAGTGGCGAATAACAGTTGCCTGTTTCTTATAAAAGTAAGCTTCACCTTCAGCATAGTGTTATACATAACTTTTAACATTTTAAATTCACTGCACTGTATCTTCTTTACGTGTACTGTAAGGTCAGTGCAAGCTAGAGCGCCAGTTAGGTCGAAATTTTTGGAGCCTTCCACTATGTCGTCTCTCAAAATCGTGTTGTGGTTTTGGAATGTTAAACCTCGGATATTATCAAGTTTCTCTGTAGTAGCTCAGTCCTGTAGGTTGTGGGCACCACCTTTCTGTAGTATCCACATTACGATTGGACAGGAGTGCAAAAAGACTAGTGTACTTCGTATTCAGTGTACTACATTAAAGAGTCATGAATTACTCTTGAAGAACTCTATAGTCGTTGACTTTCCTATTTAAGGTTTATAATAAAAAGAAACATTAAAAGTAAAAATTCTGTTTTCTATCAAGTTCACTCGAAATCACAATCGCAGTACGGTGGAAAACCAAAGTATATGTGCATTTTAACCTTGTTGCCTGAATACTTGAGAAGCGTGCAAAATCGAGCTTGTTGGTGCACATTCATATTTAAAAAATGGTGCGAAAAACCAAATACAAGAAACACCAAACAGGACTTGCTAGGTGTGCAGTCAGCACTAGTCCTATTCGGTCTTTCTCGTCTTTGTTGTTTCGCACTGTTTTTTGATACGGCTGAATACATGCTCCTGAAACTTGCCAGATATTCAGTATGTGGCTCTTATTCAACACAATCTAACTACTTTTTACTGAATTATATATGCTTTAGCGGAAGCTCTCAAACTCTATGACACAGCGAGCTGCAGGGAAATTCAAAGCGGTGGTGGTGCAATCAGAAGCTCAGTGTCTAACACCCTGGGTTACCCACACATGCTTGTAAAATGTGAAGATATTAACGTGATAGTGTTAAAGAGCTCCTTCCGCAGAAATTCTGGTGTCCGCGGTTATAAGCGAAAACTCGCCTTGTGCGTGACCGAAAAATCAAATATGTAAACAAAATAAATAAAACATTCTGGGTCTGAGAAAGGACAAACCCCGGGTCATTTGCGTGGCAGGCAAGTGTTCTACCACAGAGCCACGGGTCTGCTTGGAAATACAGTAAAAATAACTTCCTCTGTTTGGAAAGGCAGTGAAAGTAACTTGCATGCTTTGCAAATGCAAACCCTGCATACATGCGTCAAAATGCATGTAATATCGCATTAATAATACATAGCACAAGCATACATTGTTATCGGGTGTCAGAACATGTGATTATCGTAAATTTATAGTTTGAAGCGGGCCACCCACTACGAGAGGCACACACATTACTGCACCTTTTCCCTCAAAGCCACGTAGTGTGTGCATAGCAAGTTCTAAAAAAATTTCTCATGCACAATTGCCAGAGGTTTAAAGCATGCTGCCCATTTTTCACAGAAGGCAGCTATATGCAAAAGCTTCATTGCACAAGCAATATTGAACTCGTTATGCACTAGGGACTGAATATCACTATCCCCCTCAACTCTTGAAAGCAAAGCTTAAAATGCTCCAATTTCTGTTAATTTTTTTTTAATGAACGCCTGGCTTACTTTGCTATCCCGCTCAACTCTTGAGAGCAAAGCTTAAAGTTTCCCCAATTTCCGTTTAATTTTTTTTTGAACGGCTGGCTTACTTTGAGTGATCGTGAGCCCCCTGGCAAGTTGCAGCCATGACAACTATACAGCTCTCGATGCTCAAGTTGACCAATGGCTGCGGACTTTCGGCGTATGTCATTATTTGTAGAAAGAAGAGAAAGTGATTTCTGGCCGATTTTGAGAATAGTTAATTTCAGGCCGCATGCTGTACTACAATATTTGGCTTGTAGATTAGGAGCCTCGACTACCAATTGAAAGCGTTTTCTGACCATGCCTTAATGCAGTTGAAGTGCGCATAGTTGATTGACTGATCTATATGTGTGGTTTAACGTCCCAAAACCACCACATGGTTATGAGAGACGGCATAGTGGAGGGCTGCGGAAATTTCGACTACCTGGGTTCTTTTCACGTGCACCCAAATCTGAGCACGTGGGCCTACAGCACTTGCGCTTCTGTCGAAAATGCAGCCGCCGCAGCCAGGATTCAAGCCCGTGACCTGCGGGTCAACAGTCGAGTACCTTAGCCACTAAACCACCACGGAAGGGGCGAAGTGTGCATAGTGGCTTCGTGAGTTCATTCCATTGGCTTTTCCAAAAACTAAATTTTCGACACCAAGATGCAGAAATATACAATTTGCAATCTTTAGGATATTGTGTATGATTTGCCATGTTTGAAACTTCAACAAGTCAATCTAAAATTTGTTTAATAAAAAGCTTACTGCTGCATTCTTCATCTGCAAGTATTTAAAGGGCATTTTCTGACCATGCTGAAAAGTGTTGCACGGCCCCTTTATTGCAGCTCGAAGTGTGCATAGTGGCCTCTTGACTGCATTACATTGGCTTTTCTAATACTAAATTTTCCCCTACCAATATGCAGAAATATATCATTTGTAATGTCTAGGATATCAAGTATTGTTTCCCAAGTTTGAATCTAAAATTTATTTAATCTAGAGTTTACTGTTGCAATCTTGAACTGCAATTATCAATAAAGGGACACGAAAGAAGAAAACAATTTTAATGTCGATAAATTACACATTAACAATTCCGAAATCACCATGCTCGCCATGAGAAGGCACTTGGTAACTGAGAAAGTGTGCAAAAATAAAATGCGGGTGGCAACGCTACCTATGAAATTCCTGCACCTCTAGTAATGAACATATGATGGCAAGATCAACGAATGACATCCGAATTCACCGAGAAAACTTTTATGTAATCTAAAGGAATTCATTGTTTTACGTTAGTGTTCTCTAAACATGGTATAACTAACTTCAAAATAACCTAATTCTTAATATAAGACTAGCATTTATTTTTGTTTGGTCCGCAGAACACCGTGCACAAAGCCTCAGTATAATAAAAAGTAGGCGAAGGCACTATACTGAAACCAAGGCAGGCACCAGTACGTACTAGTCGAATTGTTGAATTACAAGCAGCCGTCTGCAAATGTAGCATTCAAACTGTGTGCTTCACAAAGCAGGCACTGAATCAAAGCAATGCCTTTTCATGACTGGCCACAGCTTTGATTCATTAGGAAAGAAAAGAGAAGGTCTGATTGATAGTTAACCCACCATCGTGATCAGGTGAAGCTTTTTAATTTAAAAGCAATTATTTCACCAGAAACCATCTCATGGATAGCAAGGGAAAAGTAGAGCTGTGCGAGTTGCGAAGCTTTGCGTGCAAAGCAGATTCAAATATTTCTTGAATATTTTTCGAATAGCTTTTTCGAATAGAAAAAAGCGCGGAACAAAAACCCCAACACACACACGAAGAAAACAGGACGAGGCGCGCATCTGTGTTCTGGTTTTTTTCGCGCTTTTTGTCTCTGGCTTGCATTCTGAGTTGTCGTAAACAGTCGGAATATTAGAAGGTTGTCTGTCTACCTTGTCATGACACATGGAAGCTCGCTTTAGGTGGCTAGTTTGTTTGACGAACTTGTGAACCACGCGCGAATAAACCACTTTTTCTTACACACAGCAAACTTGGCAAAAGGGATATTATTAGGACTTGCTTTGTGAATACATCAAACAAGTTCCGATGGGTCAAAGTAGGCGCCAGCTTTCAAGCAAAGGTCACTCGCCTGACAGCCTCATCACGAAAAACTGCAGAAAACGGATGGCACGTATAGCTGTGGTATGTATGACGGGCGTCGTGTACAAGCTGTTTTGCTTGTCCACGGCTGGTCTAGAGATGCGCGCTAGAAAAAAGCTAGTGCGCGTTTTCAGACCAGGCCGTGACTTGTCACGCATAAAAAGATTTATCGTGAGAATATGCCAGCTATGTTAGAGAAAAAAAGAAGGCTTTCGGCGACTTTCTCCTACTCAGCTGCACCAGCATCGTTGTAGGAAAAGCTCAAAAAGCACGTAAAGAATCCCCATACATAAAAAGCCATCACTAGCTTTACGCGAATGAAAGCTGTCATTCCAGCAAGACGCTACGACGAACCTCTCGCATTTTTCTATTTTTGTAAAAAAAAATGCTTGATGTAACACTGATAATTGTCTTCGCCGTCTCTGCGTACCTGAACGAACTTAAGACAGCCGTCCAATCGCACTTGGGAAAACATGCCTGAGAAGCAATTTTTCACTGACGACGAAAAGGACGTGGTTACCGAGCTCGTGCAGAAATACAGGTCATCAATAGAAAATAAGAAATCGGATGCAGCGTCACTGGGAAGAAAGCAAAAGGCATGGAAGCCTTGGCGGCCAACGATGCCAGTGCGCCATTCTGTTTTTTCGACCGACAGCGGCGGCGTAGCGCTGCGGTGCCTCCTTTCCCCCCCTGTCAGAGGACCCGCGAGTACAGCAGGGAAGCGCCTTTTCAGGGCAAGGAGCGAGGTAAAGAGACATGAAGGCTGCCCTGCCGTTACCTTAACTTGAGGGAGCACCAAGGAAGGCCTCAGGAAGGGAAACTTGGTAAGGAGGGTTCTAGAATACGCGATAAGGCGCCCATAAGCAGTTGAGGCTCCCTCACTGAGATAAGGAGGGTTTCAGAATATGGTCCTAAGCATATTCTTATGAGATATAGCAACATAAAGTGTTTCTTTACGCCAGGCTGATGAAGCACTGACGTGGTGGTCTTATCAAGAATAAGGCAATGTATAGGCCAAATTGTATAAGTACATGAATTTAGTGCAACCAAAGTGTTGCCGACAACACTTTACACTGAAAGGCCGAAATGTTATTTCCTCAGCCTGTCCTCCTTTTTCAGCTTCTGTGAAAGCCCAATTGATGGGGTGGACAAGGTTGTGCTCCCTTTCAAGTTGGGAGTTTCAAATCTACACACAAATACATTTGAAATTTTGGATCTTAAAGAACTTTGGCATGAAATTTTTCGGACTTCCTGACCAAATTTAGATGCGAAACGGCATTAACTGAGCCCCGACTTCTGGCACATCTATCACCTCCATGTTGGAACCAGCGTTTTCATGAGTCAATACAACTGCGACCAGCAGCAGTGCCTGAAAGGCAGCTTTGTCGCAATATGAGAATGTAATGAGGTGAAGCATACTAAGAATCATGAGGGGTCATTATTAATTGGACATTGACAGCATTTGTTTTTGGGAAGTTCAAATACAGTTGACTCTTGTAAACGGGAACTTGAAGGAACCGGGAAAATATGTTCCATTTAACAGGAGTTCTGTTTACTGAGGGGTGAGCATAGGTGCACAATACAAGCCCGAAACCAAGCATTGCAGAGGAAATAGTTCCGTTTAAAGGGGCCCTACAACACTTTTTGAGCATGGTCAGAAAACACTGCCGATCGGTAGTAGAGGCTTCCCGACAACACGCTAGCCAAATATTATAGCACAGCATGTGGCCTTCGACTTCACAATAAATTATCGAAGTCAGCTAAAAATTGCTTTCTATTCTCTCGTCAAATGGCGGAATATGCCCAAAAATCACACGTGAATTACCCATCTATCAGCCATTGGCTGATTTGAACATGGCGCGCTCGCTCGTTACAGACATCGCCACAGGAGGCCGCGACTTGTCCACGCGCCATCACACCGAAAAAGCGGGGCATTCGAAGAAAAACAAGAAAAAAAAAGTGCTCAAGGCCACGAGGCGCTGATGTGATGTTTTTCTGTGGCCCTGCCATCCCTCCTTGCTTAGCTTCCAGCACTTTCGTTGGGACGAGAGAAGAGAGAATGCAATTGCAGCATGGGACAAACCTTTAACTCCACTCGCACTGGACGGATTCTTAAAATTTTTGTGGTGTTGAATTCATGAGGCAATAACCTTTTCCTGTGAATTCATTCCGTGGTTACTTGAAAAAGCTTTTCAGGGCCTCTTTAAGTACTAGTTCCGTTTAACAGATTTCCATTTACTGAGAGTCTACTGTAGTAAAAATTACACAGCAAATCGAATAGAACAGCAAACACTATTCGAAAAATGTTCCAAGTATTCGCACACCCCTAGCAACACATTTGCTGGAATTCCCAAGCTATGTTGATACATTTATGATCAAGGTACCTATACACACATAAATAATAAATAAAAAACAAATGACTTCAATATAGCCAAATCAAGTAATACACCGCGCCATAAAGACACTTCTTGATTTCTAATGAATTATAGGCAGGAGCTTGAGTAATCATTTGGCTTCGAATGAGTGTGTGTGTGTGTGTGTGTGTATGCACATGAGCAGTCTTATAAATTTTTTGTGTTTAAAATTTTTTTTTTGTCTCGTTGGAAACATCTGTCCAGTATCTTTTCACCAAGTGCTACATTCTCTGAATGCAGCTGGTGATGGCTTGACAGTGCCCGACTGACTGCTTTCCAGTAATGAATGACCTGTGTGAAATTCCATGCTTCAAACAAGTCTGGGTTTCTGCATTTATTGAAGAACAATGCCTCACTGGCCGTAGGTTTCAGAGCCCTGCTTCAGAGCTCACAACAAGGTCTTTTTCCAACAGCAGACCACACCGGGAATGCACGGCCAACTGGTTTATTTGCTGTCATTAAATTAAAGAGAGAGCGGACACATAGAAAAAGAAACTATATACAGCAGCATCAGCAGCAGTAGCAGCAGCAGCAGGGTGCCCTCCCCCTCCTCTGGGCAAGGTATCTACAACTGGTGAGGGGTAGGGCATGCAGTAGGCACTTGTGCTTCATTAAAAGTAGACGGGCTGCGCCTGAGCCGGTTGCGGTTCGTCATGTGGCAGCTCGTCGTCTGCATCCAGGTCCGTGGTCGGACAGTGGCAGACAGCCTCTTCCTGCGTCTGCACAGCAGCCTCACGGCAGCACTCCGGAGCCATTGCAATGTCGTCATCAGCCGCTGCAATCGCACCTGCAAAATGAACCAACCGGCATGCACCTCAGGGTTTGAGACCGAAGTAAACCGAGGTAGCCTCTGAAACCGGCTCCCTGTACTCTGTTTCAGTACATCATCTGCAACGCTGTGGAGGCCAGCGGGACTTCTTGCAGCCGATATGTTCGCAACAAAAAATAGCTCAGTGTTCTCACCACCACTAACAGAATATTTTTTCATTATTACGGCGAAAAGTAACTGAACATGTTTTGTACCTTACAAGTGAAAATGCCATTGAACGTCTGCCATCATGCGGCTGGATAGCCTTGTTTCCATGTGACGTCACAAACAGGCGAGATCTCTGCTCTGATATGTCACGATGGCGGCCATCTAAACTTTCTATGTTATGATACAGTGTCAGTACAGAAAAGGACACCAGAGTCGGTTATATCCCCGCGTTCTGTTGTGGTCTCCACGCTTTTTTCTGTTCGCCAGTCGCGCCAAGGGGGAGCACTAAGAAACACAAGGGTCAAGTGGCATTAATAAGATGGCCCGTGAGTGACCACGAGACACGCGCAGATTAATACATTTTGCTAGCCAAACTTCTCACGTAGCTTCCACACATTGCAACTGAGTTTAACTACACAATGACAGCGTAGCTGCCAGGATTCATGAACACAGGGCACAGGGTGCCAGTGGAATGCATACCTCCATAATCAGGCTCCTCGCAGGGCGGCAGTTGTCGGGCATCCTGCAAGCGCGACAGCTCCTGGCGCAACCGCTGTCTTTCTTGCTCCAGCTCAGCCAGGCTCGGCTGCACAAAGGCACAGTCTTGGTGTGAAACATCAGCACTGTAAGCTCTAGACTTAGTGTTTGACACTGCTGCTTGATTAATCTCCGACAATATGGGCAAGCAGTGCAACCAAATGTGGATTAAACTGCCACAGTTGCTGCAGAAGCTATGCACACATGACAATCCTATTTATGCGATAGTACAGTTCAGGTGATAAAGATCTATGCCCCAAATATAATTTTCATTTCCCCCTGTTTTTACAGTCCTTGCATATAGTACTGTTACCTATATGCCAATTTTCGTTTTTACAGTCCTTGCATATAGTACTGTTACCTATATGCCAATTTTCGTTTATGCATTCTTTTCTTTACAGGAAGACAATCCTTTTGTCAGCCGTTTTAACTTTGTGCAAGACTGTTGCCACAGAGTTATGTTTCTTTTACACAAAGAGTGAAGCACGTCTTGTTTTCCGCAGGCGAAATTTTCAGTTGACCACAGTACCACTTTTTTTTTTCTCTTTCTGAAAGTAGCGAGGCTGGGGTGCTTGAGCTGCCACAAATTAGTATTGCTACGTTGTGTCGCCTTGTGGCTCTTAAGGGCTGTTGTTTCCGCGGCTTCGCGGATAAATCAGAATCAGGAATTAGCACATGGCATTCTAGGTTTTCGAATTAACTAGACTGGTGCTGACCGCCGCTTCAAGTTATCCACTCAGACTTCTACATTGCAAAATATGGGACTGCGGAAATATTTGAATTAAGCAGGATTCCGAAATAACGAGGTTCACATTAATGACATTTTACTGTAATTTAAGTTGTTGCATGCAACGACACCTTGTGTGGCAGAGGTTGCGACTATGAGAACTACTGCAGGCACACATCATGAAAGCTGTCTCGTTCCTGCATGACACGAAAGTGTGTTCTGTTATGAGTGCCGAACCTGTCATGTACTGAATTTATCAATAACGGCTAATGTAAACACGATGTTAGTTTTAAACAGTAGCTGGAGAAACAAAACAATCTGCTGCTTCTCGTCAACCGTGAAAAAATCTAATAGAGGTTAGTTTTCTGAAAACCTTTTTTTCAGCATCCCAATTTCCTCAATCTAAGCAAGGAGGCACGATAATAGATATGCTCCGTGTATGCACATGATAAGCCCACTTAACATGATGAGCGCACTTAACCATTACGACGGAAATGTACACAGCGGGCGCTAGCTGGCACCAGATTTTGCATAAGGTCTATTCTCCTGCTTCCATCTGCAAGGAAGCATGCATAGCGACTACGCTACTGACAGTAGTTGCTGCCATAATGATGCTTGTTTCCTCTTTGAAACAGCTTGTTATATTTACAAACAGTTTTTTAGTAGAATCACTAGACAGTAGCTGAGCAAAGCACTTACAACAAGTAGAACGAGGTAGCGCAGTAATGGCTGTACAGATGACAGCAGGCGGTGAGGGCACACTCCTTGATGGCGAGCTGCACCTGCAGGAAGGAAATTTGCAGGAAGCAAGCCATGAAATACAGTGAGAAGTGTAGCATGTTATGGTTAAAAATATATGTGGGGCTGTGCTTAAAGGCCCACTGGTAAAATACACTATGCTTAAAAAAATGTACTATATTTAAGAATGGACGCTGCAGCATAGCTGCAAGCTTGTTTACTTAACTATTTACAACACACAACGCAGGCTAGACAAGACTGTGCCCGTCCAACACAGCCAAAAAAGATGTAGACATACCCCTCGTTCAAACAGATACACTACGGCGGCTGTTCTGTATTAGTGTAAGCCCATGGTGTCTATGTGTGTTTCTTTCTCTGTGTGGTTGTTCATACTGGCGCGACGTTGACTATATAATCAAAACCGTATAACAAGCCTTTAAACATAAAAAATTGTTGCCAAAAGCGAGGGCATATATGTTCATTTAACATTAAAATGAGACTGCAGTGGTACGTATAGCTCCCCAAAAGACGCCCTCACAGCATTCCGCTGTTATGCTGAAGTGAACCCACCTTTACAAGGAGATTACATACAGTTGAAGGCTCCAACTGCTACCAATTCCATTTGTGTCGTTGGCACTAACAAGAGAATTCAGAATTTATAAGATATAGATGGCGTTGAAAGAAGCTATAATAATTTGCAAGACCAAAGTAGGGAGACTTCAATCTGATGCTGCTTAGGAGTTCGAGTCGGGCAACGATAGGTGAACAATACACTTGTTCGTTCATTTCAAATATTTTAAATTCATGGCGTAAGTGAATTCGAATACTGTAATATTCAAATATTCGAAGTGCTCCAATATTTGCACATGCCTACTAACAACCTATAAGATTGAATGACATGTTACAGAGTAAAAAGGATGACCATACAATCTTGCGCATCAGAAGTTTTCCAGAAAGGATAGTTTGAACAAAGCCCTGCGTCAGCTGTATGCTGACAAGCCATGTAAAAGCCCACCAGCTTAGTCAAGCCTGTTCCCGCATCACAATATCTAGTCTGAGGCCACGCATGCCAGATTAATAAAAACACTCACCTTCAGGGCTTGAGGCAGCAGCAACAGCGTCCTCCTCCGTGACGTTCATCGCCTCATTGATCAGCACCGGTAGTTGGTTCGCTGCACCACACAGACCAGTCATCAGCCACTTTCTCAGGATTATATGCTTGTGCTAACTGTTGCTTGCAGTGGACTGAAGGCAAGCTACAGCTGCTCTGCTTTCCTATAATGTCAAATCTTAAAAGCACAATTCAGGGGTGGGACAGCTGGAACTACCTCAGAAACAATCCTTGGAGCGTAAAAATCTGTCTTTGAATTGAATACATTTGAATTTTGATACAAAGCAGCAAAGGCAATGCTGAGAAGGTGAGTAACATAAGATTGCCCATAGCTGCATTGTTGCAAGGTATGTCACCTAACTTATGGTGCAAATAATTTTATAGTACTGGCCAAAATAACACAGTACCATACCTGCTAAGTTCAAGGATTCTGAATCTGGAAGATTTCCAGGACGGGGAGGGGGGGGGGGGGGTTTGCCACACAAAAAAGGACATACAAACAAATAAAAAACATGGTGAAAAACAAAAGGGTGTGGGAGGGGGGGGGGGGTCTTCTCAGTCACAAGTGCCAACATCAGCGTTGCGGTCTTATAGTGACTAGGAGTGGCCGAACACACAAGGGTAGAGTTTTTACTAAGGCGAGAGTCTCAAAGGATCAACACAACTAGCACAATCTATTTCAGTCAAAACAACTCGCGCGTGTCTTCCTGGGACACTCGTGAACGGACGGGACGGCGCAGCTGGCTGCGTCAAAAGCGCGGTTCAAAGCTTTCCTCCCTACTAGATTCTTTTGACAGGAACGTCAAAACGCGCCTGGCCCCATTTTATTGCGATAGCAATTATATAGTCTGTCAAGGCTGTTTTCTTGCTGGCGCCATTGCCGCCGTTCTTCACAGTATATTTATATATATGAACACTCAAAGAAAAAAAGCCGCCCCCGCTCGCTTATTTCTCACGTCTACTTTGCTTCGTGAATGAATGCCTGTGCGCGTGCACTTATCCTTTGGCGGGGGAATCGTGTGCTTTCGGCTTTCACTGAAACGAAAGCCTTAGTTGCCAGGCCCACAAAGGTCACTTTGGTCTCTGCACAGGCCTCTTTTGCAAAAACAGCGTGCTTTTCATACACAGGGAGGTATAACAACCGGGGCATTTGTTAGTTTGTACTCATCTGTACATGTGATTACGTATTGTGCATCGTTTTTGTTTAAACAGTGCCTTACGTGTCGAGCGGTAAACGTTGTTAGTTTGCTCTCGTCCTGCGAGTATCAATTTCGTGCGTCATTTGTGTGTGAGCAGTGCGCTGCACGTTTCGATCTGCTTGCCGTTCTCAGCGTTACATTCCTTCTTCTCTTCTTGTCTTCCTTCCTCCTTCTTGTCTCTGTGTCGTCGTTTTGTTCTCGCGCTATAACTATCGTCATGCCATACCAACTAGCCCAAGCTGCCACACTTCTAAGTTACATTCCAAGTTGTTGCTGTCGCATTCATTGCTTCGTCCTTGCGGCGAAACTGTAACTTCTTTAGTTTTTTACATATTTACTGTTTTGAACCTACCGCTGCGTGCCCTCGGAGCTCGTCGATGGCCATCTCGTCACCGCGAATGCGATTTTGTGCACAGCGGTTGCGGCAAACGGTGGTTCATTTTACAATCTCCATGCGCTTGGCTGCGCACGCGCCTTTAAAGCTAAGTCATTTTATGCCATCTACAATAGCATCTGCTGCAGTTTTGCCCGCAGAGTTTGCGGAAAGTAGCGTTGCTTTGACTGGTTGAGCGCACACTTTCGGGGTTCTGTCAGTCACGTCGTCGCCATACATGATCGTGTCAAGAGCGACCGCGGTTTCATCCACAACGGTTGTGGTGACGACAAACACACGCACTGTAGAAGACAGTGCGTGTGCCGGTTGCATGCATACTTCCGAAGCTTCGAGTACGCTGCTCTCAGCCTTCGTTCAACAGTTTCCGTACTAAACTTGGTATCACCCGCCGCGATTAGAAAATGTGTTCGGAGCATTCAAATCGAGGCCCAATGAACATAATAAAATTGAGCTAGCAAATTTCAAGAATTCGTATCTGATGTGCTTTCGCATCACTGAGATTATACTGTATGTTTACATGAACGCCTCTTATACTTATTTATAATAAAATGGGGTATGTCCGAAAAGCCTGGAGCAGATTGAGCTGCTTTTTTGTCAATGCAGCCAGATCACGTACAGAAATTTCGATTTCCGGGAGATTTTCATGACAACCGTACAACCGGAAAAAACAGTCAAAATCCGGGAGCCTCCCAGCCAATCCGGGAGACTTGGCAGGTATGCAGTACAGTTACTTCAACCATGCATTCTATTTCTGCCTCATTGACCATGAGAATATACGATGGTAGGTGTAGCATGTGCAGCTGTCTTACTTTTTTTTCTGTCTCGCGCTCGGATACGTGGGCACACATTTGGCATATGCTAAAGGAATTCATGCCAACTGAATGTTGAAGGTGACGCCAGCACCAGAATGGCAATGAACCTGCAGCTACTTCCACACTTGGCTTGAGAGCAATCATTTCGAAAATTAAAAAAGTGTACCATTACTAGGTTTCCATTAAATGGTTTCACACGAACTGGAACCGTTGCTTTATTTCAACCAATGTGTTTTTCCTTCTGATGAAAGGACATGCTCAGGAATCCTCTCCAACTTTTTTTTTCTGCAATTTCACTTCAAATTGCTATGCATACTTTAAGAATTGGAACTACACTCGCACTGTTTATACCTAGAGCACTGAAAAATTACAGGGTATATTCACACAACTGTAAGAGGCTAGAAAGGGAAGAGAGAAATGCCTTTCGTATAGACATTTGACCCGCACAAGCAAAAAATTCAAAGGCAAAATGGTAGCCAGTGCCACTGTCGTGCTTTTGTAGTCAAGTGATCTATTTTGTTGTGGTGGCATCTGCTTGGGGTTCAACGAAAAAGCACAGAAAAGAAAAACATAACACGCTATCAGTCTTACTTTTGAGGCCACGCCAAGATCCCTTCCAATGTTACATTTATTCAATCATAGGCTTACCCACCTGTCATTTCTGCCCACAGTGGTTTCTGGACGAGTGCCACCACATGCTGACGCAGTCGGCAGCGATGTAGTTACATTATTGCGTGATTAAAACTATTGAGTCATTCTGATATTGGAGCTTAGACCAACGCTAAAATTATCTCTAGCCATCAGTTTAAGCAAAGCACAAAAAAATATATAGGTGCATCAAAAGTGTTGGAGGGCCTCTTTAGGTCAGTAAAGCCCTGGTGCTAAAAATGCAGCACAGAAACAAAAAGCAGCTTGTGCGCCAGATTCTCACCATGGTAAGTGACTTGCAGTAGAAGCTCCATGAGGCCCTTCTCAGCATTCATCTCTTCCGAGATCTGCAAGGCAACCAAACTTTGATGATTATGCCACAAAGTGGTCTTGACAGTGAGTCCTTTGAAAGAGCTGCATACAGAATTTCTTTTCTCCATGCAAGGTCGCCAACACTCTCTGCTCTGATGCAAGTCGTGTCTTGACTAGCATTTTGTTTGAAGGTTCAAGACACACACCGTCTCAAGTGCTAACGCTAAACGATTCAACCACAAGTGGAAAACAGCAGTAACAAAGCAGTCTTGTATAACATAAGCTTAGCAAAAGAATGAAAAATTGCAAAATGCAAAAGAAATGAGCACACTATTAAAATTTGGCCTTCAAGATAAGAACACAAAAAGCCCCGTGCGCAGAGCCCTCTCGTTTGCTTGCCTCGATTCTGTTTTCGGTACATGCCTCAACCATGCCATAAGGAAACAACTTGTTCACTGAAAATTGGCTGTTTCAAACTATGCTAGAATGCTCGCTGCAAGAGCACTTGTTAAATGCTCACTATGCCATAAATATTGTTCTTTGGAATCAGCGGAGGGTCCACTACACATACGTAAGGCAACGTGCTAACCTATGCAGCTGCTCATTTTGTTGACGTTTCAACGCGACAACGTTAAAGAGCTTGTCTCGCAGAAATTGCGACGTCGGTGTCAGCGTCGGTGTTGTTGATTGTGAGCAAAAAATCATCATCTCATGCGTGACGAAAAAAATCGTGAACGATGCAAATGAAATAAATGATAAAAAATTCTGGTTGAGAGTGGGGACTGAACCAGGGTTGTTTGGGTCCAAGTGGGGATCGAACCCGGGTATAGTTTGCGTGGCAAGCGGATGTTCTACCACACGGCCACACCTCTGCTTGTGAAAACAATGAAAAGAACTTTTTCTGCTTGGAAATGCGGTGAAAGTAGCTTTCATGCTTCACAAACAGATGCGTCCTGTATACATGCTTCACAATGTAACATGAATATTGCAGTAATAATGTGTGGTAAAAGTGTTCATTGCCAACGGGCGTCAAACCATGTGATATCATAATGACTCCATGGTAGAAAGCCGGCACCCCACTACAAAAGGCACACACCCTATTGCACCTATTCCCTTAAGGCCACGTAGTGAGTGCATAGCAAATTCCAAAACGTTTCATGCACCAAGTGTTTAGAAGTATGCACTAGGAACAGGATATCGCTATCGCGTTCAACTCCTAAAGGCAAAGCTTTAGGGTCCCCCAATTTTTTTTTGTATCTATGATGAGTAAGTATGTCTAAGCACTTTGTAATGGATGGGCCTGTTAAAACTCATACTCGTGCAATTCCCATATTTTGATGCCCGACGTGATTCTACACTTCTGCCGCACAATATTACATGCATTAGGGAGACTCCTTCCACTACATTATATGAGCAGCAGTTTCAAGCAATAGCATGGCTCTTTGGTAGAACATGTTTTCACCGTGCGAATAGCCTGGGTTCGATTCTCAATCGAACTTAAGATTTTATTATTTATTCTATTTGCATCTTTATTTTTCGGTCATAAACAAGGTGAATTTTCACTCACAACCAATGACACCACCACTAAAATTTCTGTGATATGACCTCTTTAACGCTGCCTGCATTGAACTAACACACAATGTATGAGTGTGCTCGAAAACCCGACTTATTCCCCCTAAACCTGTATTCACATGACACGTGATCGTGGACAAATCAGCCACGTGACGTGACGTAATTTGATCCCTCCACAGCCAGCATTCACATGACAAAGGGGAATTCAGGCTGCAAGCTAGGATTTCGGCACTGCTCCCCGAGGATTCCAACAATGATTTGGGCTTCCGTTGTTTCACAAACCTGTCCACGCAGACCGAAGCAGGAACGTGGCAACAGCTGATGTATGGTGGCGTAGTAACGCAATGCACAGGTTCGAATCTCAATTTCGTTCGTGTGAATACAGTTTAATGAGCAGGCCAATGTCTAGCCCATGCTTGTCGCTTTAACCTCCAGTTTGACCCGGGCCCATAGCCTTGCGGCCATGCCCTGCCAAAATTTGTGGACGCAAGCCTGTGCAGTGCTATAGGCTGTACAGCAGTCCTCCAAGCAGCGATGCATGCTTCTCTGTGTGGCTGAGCAAGTATGTATTGCAGAAAGGCCAATGATTCATATGATATTAAATAGAAATCTTCTAAAAGGAACTCCTGGTTAAATGAAAACTGCCTCTAATGTTAGCCCCTGTTTATCTCTCAGTAAACAAAACTCCCCTTAAATGGGACACGCTGTATTTACTTCGCACAATTTGCGCATCCTAGCAAAATATTATACAATGAAATCCCAATACACGAAACTCGCTTAAACGAAAATGCCTCTATAACAGAATTGAACGGGCTCATATGGCTGGATTTCTATGTGCTACGCAGTAAAATTCATCGGTTAATCGAAACAGTGCTTATTCGTCATCTACGGTTAAACGGCACAAACTCTAAACACGGCATAAACTCGCTTCATGCCAAAGGTAGTCTCACAACCATGGCAACACCTTGAGATCAAGAGAAACCAATCCAGTAGCCATTCTCCCTTTTGGCTGTGGGAGCGAGGTGCGTGCGTTAGGCCTTATGCGACGAAGTGCAGTGGATCACGGTGTTATTTCAGCCTGATGAAAAGGAAGCGGCCGCACCATACACTCTCAATTGAAAAAAAGCTGCCCATTCTTCAGGAGCTCGATCGAAACGGCCTGCCCAAGATGGAGGTGGCCAAAAAATAGATCCCAAAATCGACGCTGTTGCAGATCTGGAAAGACTGAGAAGAGTTTTGAAGGCACTGTCAAGTACGAGACCTTTACATCTAAACAGATGCGGATGCGGACGACGCCTTATGAACTACAAGAAAAAGTCTTTTTCTGTGGTTCAAGTGTGCACGGAGTTTCAATTTGCCCATAAGCAGACCATTCTCAAACAGAAAGCTCGAGAGATCGCCATGCAAATGGGTGTTAATAACTTTAGTGACGGATGGCTCAGCCGCTTCAAACACGCCATGGCCTAGTCTTCAAAGCAATTTCAGGTGAGAGTGGTGCAGTCAACAGGGACATCTGCACTGACTGGCAACAGGGGCAGTTTAAGGAAATTTCGATGAGCTTGGAGCCACGAGACGTCTTCACTGTCGACGAGATGGGTCTTTTTTATAAGGCACTTCTGTCAAAGACTCTCACCTTCAAAGGCGAAGCCTGTAGTGGAGGAAAGCACAGTAAAGATCGCATTACTGTGCTGGTGGGTGCAAACATGGCAGGAGATGAGAAATTGAAGCTGTTGGTAACAGGAAAATCAAGGCACCCATGTTGTTTCAAAGGCGTTTAACACCTCCCCGTTGCGCACCATGGGGACGGAAAAGCATGGATGACCATGGCCATTTTCGAAAACTGGCTTCTCGAGGAAGACTCAGAATTTACGAGGCAAGGCAAGAAGGTTGTCTCCATCGTGGATGATTGCCCAGCCCATGGTCAGGTTCAAGTATTCCAAGCCATCACTCTGGAGTTCTTGCCAGCCAATGCAACGGCAGTGATTTAGCCAATGGATCAAGAGATTATTCAGAACATTAAAGTTCATTACCGCAGACAATTTCTCCATCAAATGCGGCGTAGAGCAGGCAGCAGGAAATGCTACAGCATAGATTTATTGGCTGCCATCCACATTTTAACTTGTGCCTGGGAGCAAGTGAAGGCAACAACAATACACAGATTCTTTCACTATGCTGGCTTTCAAGCGCAAGAAAGCAGTACCTGATGAAGAAGAAAGCCCTGCTGATGCCGACATTGAGACAGTATTCAGTCAAGTCGTACCCTCTGCCCCTTTCACGATGCAGGACTACAAATCAATTGATGAAAATGTTCGTAACTGTCGTGAAGAGACTGTTGAGGAAATGATTGCCAAAGCGCACGATGAGGATCAACCCTTCAGCGATGAATTGATTGATTGATTGATTGATATGTGGGGTTTAACGTCCCAAAACCACTATATGATTATGAGAGACGCCGTAGTGGAGGGCTCCGGAAATTTAGACCACCTGGGGTTCTTTAACGTGCACCCAAATCTGAGTACACGGGCCTACAACATTTCCGCCTCCATCTTCAGCGATGAATGTGATGACAATACTGTCAGTGCAGTGGTGCCACCAGACCGATCAGCTAAAGAGGCTGTTGAACTTTTGCAGCGCTATTTTGAGCATGAGGCTCGTCCAGAATTTCTAGCCAGTTTGTCAGGCATGGGTGCGTACCTTGTAAAAAAAACAACTCAAGCTTGCCAAACAAACCACTCTTCACTCCTTTTTTTTTCTCCTATTCATCCTCATGAGTAAGGTGAGCTTACTGCGATTTGAATAAGGTCTTGGTTCACTACATAAGTGTACTTTGCTTAAATGAAACTTCTGATAAATGGAACAGTTTTATGGATCCCCTACGAGTTCCATTTAAGAGGAGTCGACTGTAGCTGGCTTAACTAAAAAGAAAGTTTACTCCCATACTTCGCACTTCCTGACCCACTTAAGCCAGCTAGCCGGCGATTGTGCAAGACTTTGGACCTTTGGACGGGCGTGCCCCTCGCCAGCCGAGCCCAGTCATACAAACACGACCAGCCGGTGTGAAGTCCCTTCCTTTGAAGAATTCCCCCGAACTACGGTCCATAAAATACTGCACCCAAACACCCAAACCTTTTGAAGGGTCTTCGGAACTATGAGTGTTTGCTTCCCTTTATCTCCCCATCTCTTCCACCGTGACAACGCACTCGCGACATGGCATGGCGTGCGAGAGCCTATCGCCCCAACTGTTCTCCTCGTACTCGGCATCTGCGCTGCAACATACGCTTTGTTGATTTCGAAAGTTTATGTTTCGCCATTCACCCGTCACGTTTTTTCAGTATTTCGAGACGGGCCACAATAATTATATGTACAACAAAATTCATGCTCCCTGTTATAAAGCTTGTAAAAGAAAACGGGAATAATGGCACCGCCACGGACTTCAGCGTGAAGTTCTTCAACATGTGATGTTCTGTACGGGAGAAAGCAGAAAAGTGCGCACCTACTACTGTATAAACCGGAATACAAGTCGAGATATTTTCAATAAAACAACGAGCTAAAGCCGCCCCTCGTCTTATATAGCGGTGTCTAGCAGACAGTGCACCGCTGTCTGGCAACATGTGGCTTGCATGTGCATGAGAAGCTGGACACGGCCATATTCTCATTCAAATCCAATACCAGGTTGTTTTTTTTCTCTCTTGTTTGTTTTTTTGTGTTTGTGATTTGCCTCTGATCTGTTCTAAGTTCTTGCTCCGCTTGACATTGTGTTTCATTTTTAGTGGTCTTTTTTTATTTTTTTCGTTCACTGAATATGAGTAGCGGTACAAGAAGGCAGTACTCAGCTGCGTTTAAACTAGAGGTTGAGTTTGCAGAAGCGAATGGGAATATGGCTACTCAGCGCCGCTTTGGTGTATCAGAAAAAAGCGTGCGCTATTGGATGGTACAGAAAGGGAAGCTGCAGATGTGCGATCCTCGGAAAATGTCATTTCGTGGGCGAAGTGCGGTTCATCCGCAGCTGGAGAATACGCTAGGCAACTTTGTGTGGGAAGTTCATGCGTGCTCGCTGCCAGTGACCGTGGATACCATTCGCAAGAAAGCTGTGGAACTCGCTCGAGAAGCTGGACTCACGAGAGAAGAGTTTCGTGCACAAAACTCTTGGGTGCGTCGATTCATGAGGCGCAAAGGATTTTCTTTCCAATGGTGCACATGCACCTGTAAGAAGTTTCCAGACGAGTTCGAGGACAAGCTTATAAACTTTCAGGGCTTCGTGAACCGGCTTCGGGAGCAGAATAAATACATGATGGGGCAGATTAACAATGCCGATGAGACCCCCGTGTGGTTTGACATGCCTTTATCGACCATGATCATGCAGCGTGGCGCCAAGAATATGAAGCTGTTGTCCACTGGCAACGAGCACTCACGCTTCACTGTCATGCTGACATGCATGGCAGATGGTAGAAAGTTTCCGCCCTTCATCATTTTCAAACGTATGACAATGCTGAAAGAAGTGTTCCCGCCCGGTGTTGTCGTTCGCGTCAACAAATAGGGATACATGGATGAGGCCATGATGCTCAAATGGATACGAGTAGTCTGGAGCAGTCAGCCAGGTGCACTGCTGCGTCTTTGCAGCATGCTTTGTGGTCACTTAACCGACACTGTGAAGCGCACACTTGATGAAAAAATGGACTTCGCCGTGATACCAGGTGGTATGACGTCGACCTTCCAACTGATCGACGTTGCACTAAACAAGCCGTTCAAGGACAGAGTATGGCTGGAGTACCAAAAGTGGATGTCCGGAGACAACTCAAAGACACCTGACGGACCGCATACAGAGGCCTCTGCCTGCAACTGTTTGTGGCTGAGGGCTTTCTGCCTGGCGTTCCTTGCCAGATTCTATTGTGGAAAATGCTTTTAAGAAATGTTCCATCAGCAACTCACTGTATGGCACGGAAGACAACGCACTGTGGAAGGCGGCCAGCGACAAACCCTCGTCTTGAGAAGACAGTTGTGCTTCGTCGGACTGGTGATTGAGGAAAGCTCCGACGATCGAAGTGCGGTGCACCCAATTCGCAAATAAATGTCGTTCGGCAATTTTGGGTTGTTTTCCTTTTTTTTTGTTTTTCGGTAACCTGAACTTGGGGGGGACGACCTATATTCCCACTCGACCTATAGTCTGGTTTATACGGTAATACAAGTGTCCTGCCGTTGAAAAAGACCTCTTCAATTATGTGCCAAAGCTTGGGTCCTCTAGTATTACGGTGTCTTGCAACCCGGTTTCTCACAGCATTTTCAAGAAAAGCTACAAGAAAATAGGGCATTCGAACGCGCTCGACAGAATCAAGGGCAATGCACTTTGGGAGGGCGCCTACAGCGACCGCAGCGATGATTCTCAATTGGAACTATCGGTCAGTGATTCCAACAACACCGTGCATGACTGTATCTGGCTAGTACGTGGTAATTCTCTTAAACAAACAAGTACACTTCATTTATGCTCCAGTTTATTTTTTTTATTTTTTTTGTGTGTGTACCGTATTTACTCGCCAAATCCTCACACTTTTTTTTTTGGCGGAAACTAATGCAAAGTTGGGGGGTGCGAGAATTACGCGGGAAAAACTTTTCACGAAAACGTACAGAGCGAAAAAGAAAAATTGGCCACAAATCAGAATTCTCACACCAGAAACTAACAGCAAGCTTTGAGAAGTACTAGTTATAACTTACTTCAACAATAAAAGCACTGGTTCAACACATGGAGAGATTTATTTGAGCCACAAAAAGTACAAGCTAATAGTCGAGAATTAGAATACCACACGCAAAGCTTGTGGGCGTTAGGGGCGTAGCGGTAGCGTTCGTCACTGAACAAGAGCCCTCAAACAGTAAACGTAGGACATCAGTATTGGGCTGATGGCTATTTAACAGAATCATCGGCAGTTTCCTTTTGAAGAAATGAAGTTTACCATCAATCTCAGTCTTAGGCACACGACAGGCCCAACGCGTGTTTGGTGGCTTTCAGCCGCCATCACCAGTAGCAATCACAAAACTCGTCAACTCCGAAGGCCCTACCAGCGACCCTGTTGCCGTTGTTTAGTGCATGATCAATCACTTTCAACTTGAAAGCAGCCATGTAGTTTCAATATCGCCCCATAACGTGACAAGATTACCGATACAACATACAAAACATGCCGCAATGCGCACTTGCCACTTTGGCCTGGCTTGGATTGGATTGAATCTCCGTGCAATAATAGTACGCTTGATGCTTAAGAGATGGCGTCAGATAGTGCGCGCTATCATCATCAATGGCTGGAATGAGCAGACGACATTATGGCGGCAATTTTTGGGGGTGCGATAATTACTCGAGAAAAAAAAGAAATCGTATTTCTGTTGGGTGATGTGGGGGGTGTGAGAATAGTGTGAGTGCGAGGATTACGCGAGTAATTACGGTATACCACACGTGAGAGCTACGTAGTACTGCACATTATTTAGGATATTTCAGATGCATTGGTGAAATTTCCACGTAATTTGAACACCCCCTTTTCGGAGCACCCCAATCACATAAAGAAAGTGAAACTATGCGAGCAAATACAGTATTTTTCTGGTCTCTTCAGAATCCATTAAACATGAGTCTACAGTGTAACAAAAAATTATGGCTCCCTCTTCAACTTGATATGGTGCAACTAGACTAATATATGCTAAATAGCCGAGGGAAAAAGAGATGAAAGCACGCTGCTTGCCTCAGCCATGTGAACGTAGTCTTCACTGGGGATTCGCAGGATCTCTGCAAGCAGCGCCTGCTTCTCAGCCAGGGCTGAGAGAACCCGTTGGTCCTGGCGTCGAAGTCGCTCTGTAGAAAGAAGCATACGAGGGTCCCCACATGTAGGCAGCCTAATTATCTAATGCAGCTTACAATGGCATGTAATTACTCGAATCTAATGCGAACCCTTTTTCCGGTTAAGAGGGGAGGTGGCACTGAAAAAAAACTTTTTTGTTTGTTGACCTAGAGCAATGAAATTTGGCATGCATTCTCATAAGTGTCTTGAATAGGGAAATGTGCAGTTTCATCATGATACCTTGAGTAGCTCTCAAGTTACATCACGCTACGTGGTTCGGCTCATACGGTCTGCTCAAGGAAAGCCTAGCGCTGTAACGAAACATGCCAGGAAGCTGCAAATGGTGTTGATCTTTACTCAAAAGAAAGCTACAGGGTATAGCACTCTCAAAATTCTTTAATAAACTCTCTCTCTCTTTTTTTTTCTTTGAGATCATCATGGCTGCTGACACACATTGTCAGAAACAGTGGCATGGACAAATCATCGTCTAGAAAAAAAAACAGGGCCATAAAACAGAAATTGAAGATTGCTGAACCCACAAGCAGTGTTCAGGGATTCAGGAAAAAAAAAAATAGAATCAAAATCGGTCCAATCATTCCCGTGCTACCCTTTCCACGAGCAATGCACAATGTCCAAAACACACTTGTGAGAAAAAACCTGTCAAAGTTTTCCACAGGCTTTTTTCGATGAACTTTCTTGTTTCTCATCGGATATTGATGAAAATTGGCACAGACACTAAAAATTACCTCACAGAGCTTCGATAAAAATTTGGAAGCGATACTACAAATACTTTTACGAGAGACAAATTATTTCTTCATTGAACTTCGTGGAGGGGCTGAGCATAATGTTGAAATAACGGTATTGAGAAAACTGCGTTTAAAGTTTCAACTTTTCTTTACATCTCTAAGACACCTAAAAATTGTGATCTCAGGTTTGTCTTGTGATATTTGACTTCGTTTCATGATTTACAAAGAACAAGTATGGGTTTCAAACCAAGTTCTTTGTATGGCGGAAACAAAAGCAGAAGATTGTCGACAGCAAAGCTAAACGTAAAGGCTTTAGTGGACTACAACAGCAGGGTCGATTTCCGCAAATCGAAGAGCTGCTCGCCGAGTATGTGCTTGAGCAGCGAGCGGCACAGCGGCTCGTGACGACAGAACTGCTCCAAGTGCGGGCTATGCAGTCAGCCTTAGAAAAAGGGCTAACGCGGAGCCAGTTCAAAATGAGCAAGTGCTGGCTAACTAACTTTATGAACGGAGAAGGCTTTTCCCTCTGTAGGCAAACGGGCATATGTGAAAGTTTCCGGAGGAGTACAAAGAAAAGCTTCACAGTTTTCAGAGGTTCGTCCTAAACTTGCGGAACAACAACAGCTACCTGCTTGGGCAAATCGGGAATGCCGATCAGACGCCTCTTTACTTCGATATGCCTGGCACCACCACCGTCAAGAAGGGGCGAAGCAAGTTTACGTGCTGACATCGGGCCACGGAAAAACTAGAGTAGAGTGGCGGCAATGCTCTGTTGCACGTCAGATGGGCACAAGCTTCCCTTGTACCTCATATTTAAACGGAAGACGCTCTCCAAAGGAGTCGTTTTCCCGAGTGGTGTGATCGTGCGGGCCAACGAAAAAAATGGGTGCACGTTACAATCGATGTCTTACTTTTTTTTCGTCGTGGAAACCGGGTGAGCGTTACAATCAAAGGCGCGGTAGAATTGAGTAAATACGGTATAAGGCTGTATAAATGCATGCAGCCCTTCACAATTATGCAATCAACATTGTTGACACGACAGATATGCACAGGCAATAGCAGCCACTAGAAGTTTCTCTCATGTGAGGTTTGCAAAGTTGTATGCAAGCAAACAATCGTTTCAGCCAAACATTTTAATGCAGCTTATATTGGCGTTACTCTGCAGACACTCCTACGAGCATATTAAGGGGGGACGCGGCACTTCGGGACCGAAAATCAGCCAAAAAATCGAGTTTACCTTCTTTTTGCGTTCCCGACATCATTGCGCACCTATTTACAAAATTTCATAGCCGAATACCATCAACTTTTATCGTTATTCAACTTTAAAAAACCGAAAACGGGCGTCCTGCCCTTTAAATTGAGGGCGAATAGCGCAGGTTTCGGCTCTACGATACGCGGGAACTACGCGCTCGATCGGCGCCATTTTGGTCTTGTTTGAAAGAACGCGTTTTCAGCTGTTTTTTTTATTCAGTAAGCAACATTGAGCGTTTCCCCGGCTCGAAAAACGGGGCCTCAAAGACGAAGAGCCGCGCTCACTGCCATTGGCTAAACGGCGCACGTGACTGAAATGGCGCTTTCCGGTTGGCTGGAAGCTCGCGGCTTGCGCCTGCATACGCGACCCGACGCCATTTTGAAAGGGTTACCGCTGTGACGCCTCGAAATCGGCAGAGCACTCTGAAGCTTCATCGTTTCAACATTTTAATGCAGCTTATATTGGCGTTACTCTGCAGACACTCCTAAGAGCATAATAAAGGGTTACGAGCAGTCCCTTGCCACAATAATACAATTATGCACAATGATTTAGAGGCTTCAAAAATGCCCAAGCCCACATGCTGTAGCAGCCCTTTGGTACGATGGATATCAACGCAACATTGCGATTTTTCACCAAGTAGAAAAAAAAAAAAAAGGAGAGAGAACGCATGAACCGATTGTCAATCCTGTCTTCAGCTTTATGGATAGCAATGCAAAGTACACAATACTGACCCCCCCAGTGCTTGAAGAGTGCTGCCTAGTACTTTGGTAACGAAGGGGCTGTCATGTTTGTTTATCACTTCACTTGCATACATGTAAGAGATAGCGAAAAATCTACATGAATACCCACCAATGGGAGTGAGCACAGGTGTGGCTGTTTCACAAGGAGCACTGGGCACCACGACCACTTCTTGGAAGTCCACCAAGGACAGGCCTCCCTGGGCCACCGAGGGGGTTGCCACGGGAGCCCCGACCAATATCTCCTTGCTGGAGCCCTCCTCCTTGGCAGGCTCTTCTTTGTCTGACTGATCAGCCACCGGGGCTGCCGGCTCCTCTTTGTTCTCTCCTTCCTCCGTAGGCACCTCCTCTTCCTCATGGTCGGTTACAGCAGGGCTACAACAGCACAACAGCAGCAATACTGTAGACCTCCATATTACAAAGCATTCAACACCACACACCAAAAGTACGATAGCTCAAACTCGATTATTTGGAAGTCCCATTTCTTTATAAGAATTTCTGTGGCTTTATTTGAAGTGGTGGCCTGTATCAGCCTGATTAATTGGAAGATTTTAGATGTTATCAAGTGATTTCCAGTTCCAATTTTTCCAAAAATCTGGGAAAATGATGGCCCCTCTGAAGCCACGAGGTAATGCTGCATGACAACGCTCATGACTGATGACAGGTCAAGCAACCTGGCCTTGTTTCTGTCAGCGAAAGAAAAAAAAAGACCCAATAAAGGGGCCCTGAAACGCTTTTTCAAGTAGTAACCATGTAATGAATTCACTGGAAAAGCTTATTGCCTCACGAATTTGAAGGCGCAAAAATTTTAAAAATCCGTGGAGTTACAAAGGTTTGTCGCATGCTGCAATTGCATTCTCTCTTCTCTTGTCCCAACAAAAGCGCTGGAAGGTAAGCAGGAAGGAATGGCAGGGCCACAAAAAAAAAAAAAAGTCACACGCGCCTCGTGCACTTCTTTTTTTCTTCTAATGCACCGGTTTTTAGGTGTGATCGCACGCGCACGCGTGGACAAGTCGCGGTCTCTCGCGGCGATCTCTGTAACGAGCGAGCGTGCCATGTTTATATCGGCCAATGGCTGATAGATGGGTAATTCATGTGTGATTTTTGGGCATATTCCACCATTTGTCGAGAGAAGAGAAAGCAATATTTAGCTGACGTTCGCAGTTTATCGTCAATTTCAGGCCACCTGCTGTGCTATCTGCGTGCTGTGCTGTGCTAGCCTCTACTACCGATTGGCGTTTTCTGACCATGCTCAAAAAGTGTTGCAGAGCCCCTTTAATGATAAAGTTCACAGACAGCCAACATATGCTCCTGTAGAGGAGGTGTGCTTCCCTGCAACACGGCGGTCACATGTGGGCAGTGTATCATGTGTTTGCCCAGCATCAACACACAATAATGCCACCATTCGTACACCTGCCAGCCCTCCCAATTTTCACAGGAATAGATATGAATCCCCCCAAAATACCGTCCTGAATGGCAAAGATGCTATTTTCTTAGCCTCTCCTCCCCTTTCAATTTCTGCAGAAGCCCAACTGCTGTGGCAGACAAGGATGTGCTCCCTTCAAGTTTAGAGTTCCAAATCTGCCGCGTAGACCTCAATATATACACGTAACGACACCCAAAATTTTGGATGCTAAAAATCTTCGCTGTCTGATTTATCAGACTTCCTGCCCAAATTGAGCCTCCACCTCTGCCACATCTATCATCATGTTGAAACTAGCGTTTTCTTGATTCAACACATTTACTACTGTAGCCGAGCCTGGAAGAAAGTTTGGCCCCCATACAAGAGTGTGATGGAGTGAAGCATATCGATAATCTGAAGAAGCCATTGTCAATCTCATGTTGACTGTATTCGTTTTCAGGAAGTTCGATTCCTGCACGAATCGAATTGAATAGCAAGCACTATTCCAAAAATAGCTGATATTTTGAATATTTGCACACACCTACAAAAAACATTTATTTTTCAAAAAAGAAAAAAAACAGATAGAGAGACCTTCTATATTTTTTAAAATTCTGGCACCTCACTGGCAGTCAGAGGTCAGCCAGCTTGTTCCAGTCCTGACAGAAAATCGTCCTGTGTGCTGAAATCCCAAGATAACTCGAACATTGCCGAATTGAACGCTGAGACAACTAGCATTAACGTAAAAAAACGCTAATGCCAAGGCAGAAAACGAAACTTTGTGCAGAGTTGGAAACACTTCTTTCTGCGTTGCCGCTTGGAAATATAGGGTAAGGTTTGCAGGAGAGCAGAAGTGATATCTTTGATCATATGCATTTGGGATACGATAACGTATGTTGGCCAGATTTTCCCCGTCCCTGAAGACAACTGCCGTCCCGTTGACGTCTCAACAAGCTCAACTGTAGGCAGTGCACGTAACGATCGTGGTACAACACGATATATGAAATCTCATGAATGTGATAAGCATCTTCAAAACCTACTGCTGAATGCGGCTATCATAGACATGTGGCGGTATGTTCACTGCCACTCGTAATTGCACCATCTAGCAAGGCAAAATGGGTTTTAAAAGATAATGGTAGGCATAATGGCAACCGAAGGTAAAGTCTCCAAGTGCCCATACTATACTTATCTGTCCAGTCATCCCAAAGATGGCGGTGAGTGTGCATCAACTCTTCTGGTGTATTATGGCCAGAAATCTGCCAGATACTTTCCAGAACGAATTTATCCAGGCAGGTTCGAACAAACCAATGGTAGGCAGAATTGTCCAGCCAGAAAAAAATGAACCCTGACTGGAAGCGCGTGACGCGATGGGTGGAGCAACCTAAAAATGAAAATGTTCCAGGAGAAAAGTGCCTAATTCACAGTCAAACGCTCTTCACGTTGAAAGTACACCAATGCTTACCAAGATAGCACGTGCACCAGCGATCGCGACAGCCCTTAAGATCGAAGTTCACCGTTGCTACTTGAGCAAACCCCAACCCCTTGCCCTGCGTGTTTTTTTACGCTCGTTCAATATGGCTGGTTTCCTTTCTGTTTGAGCATTCAACGGCAGTTCTAATATGCATGGTGGATGTTATCGTATTTGGCCTCCAGGCGATTGAGATGGGCTGTCTGATTTTATCAGTGCTTCAACAGCGCTCGTGCACTCTTACCCGGTCGTAAAAGTTACGATGCGCAGGAGCATGTTACCAATTTTGACTAAGCGGCGACGGCAAAAACCAGCCAAGAGTGCCCATATAATTGCTATCACAACAGAAACGCAGTTTCCTTACTGCTAAATAACTGTTTTGGGTTAGCTCTGTCTTGAGTTCCGGTTTTGTTAAAAATTGTGGGTTTATTTTTCAAACTTTTATACCGAACCTGCATATAACGTAATCCTCTTCATAACGAATGTTTCCAGTAATTTGTAATTTTTTTTCGGTATATCCAGGTTTAACTGTATCCAGGTCTACGTTTAACTGTAATCGTACTTTCCAAGTATCAACAAAGATGTATCACAACACAGCTCTATGAGGGTTATCTTTCATTTCTGCCATTGCAAGCTTAAGAGACAGGAAATCACATTAAGCAGAAACATAACGCGATTCTACTGTACTGGACATTTTCTCTTTTTACTTACTCAAGCACTTCAGGTGTGTCGACAGGGGTTGTGTCCGGAGCCTGTTTGCCTTCATCTTCACCCGGAGGCGCGTGTGCACGCGTGGCAGCAGCAATGTGCTCTAGCCAACTCCGTTTCTCAACAGCTGAGGCCGCAGCGAATTCCCACATGGCACGCTGCTCTGGTTCAGTGTCCAGGAGAAAAAAGGCACGTGCGTCGGTGGCAACATCACGGGCATGCAGGTGCCGTAGCCGCATGACGGGGCATTGCAACATGCGGTCCTCGGCCGTGGCTGTTGGCAGGCTCACTGAGTAAAAGCGCAGCACCAGCCGTTCGCTGCCGTCTTGACGTTGCAGAACCAGAAGTAGGTCTTCTAGCAGCACCAACTGGACATCGAGTGGCTTCTGCCGAGGCAGCCGCATCGTCAGTGCACCTTCGTGCACCAGCCGATGTTGCTTGAGGTCCAAGTGCCTGTACACTGGACTCAGGGGGTGGTTCTCGACCTACAAGTGGTATAGTAAAAGCTTGTTTCAAGGTCACTGGCACTGCAAAAAATCTATGAATTAAGTGGGTTTTTGAATGAACAAAACATACAAAAATGAGATGCAAAGAATTTTGAATGACTGAGAGCAATCGGAGGTGGTTGTTTGCTGTGTTGGCTAGTTTGCGGCTCCAAGTATCGTGTTTTCCAGCAATACCTGGTCCCAATCTTGCTGCAAACACGGGTGAACAACGGGTCTCACTGCTGCCAGTGAGGAGAGGAGGCAAAAAGAAAATGTGCGTGAAACATGTGCTTCACTGCAGCACAGCAGAGACACACGGGCAGCATGTCACCTTCCCTTCCGCAGCACCAAGGTGCCATGAACCGACGATTCGGCCATTCTTTCTGGTAGAATAGAATTTGATAATTATCAGAGTGATGGAATTTGCGAAGTTTTTGGCTAGAAAACATGGTCACTGAAGTTTTCAAGCAGGGTTTTCGAAGTAGGTGTCGCAGACATCTACTCCGCCAGCAGTGGAAGTGTGCAAATCACTAGAGCAATCACCAACAGAAGGTTCGCATACATCTTGAATTCTGTCAGACTGACCGTTATTCATTTCTTCATATTCCCAAACAGAACGGATAAATCATGATGTGCTGGTGTTGTGAGAAGCACGTCTTCTTTTCCGCAGGCACATATTTAAACTGAACCGAGATGAAGCTGACATCGTGAAAGCTAGTGATTTTTAACTCATTTTGACACGACATTGTTAATTTGATACCGCATAATATTCCACCTGCATATTTACAAGAGCATCGTCTACAGTGTTAAAAAAATGCTACCTTCAACTATGCAACAGGTGCTCCTGCATTTGTAATGTAAGAAAGAAGTGCGAACCTTGTCTAGGGCACTTTTGTCCAGGCGTCGCTGCAACTCTGCCAAACGATGTGCATTCTCGGCTTCGCGCACGGCCTGGTTGACGTGTGCCAAAATCCGCTTGGAGCACTGCAAGGCACGCTGCAGCTGGGCATGCTCAGTGGAACCCAGGGCACTGTGTTTGGCCACATTCTCAATCAGTAATGGATACTTCGTCAGACGCTGGAATCCGGCCGCAACCAGGTCCTTCAGCTGCAGCCGCCGACACAGCGGGTGCATCTCTGCATCCTGCATAAAAAATCCATCAAACTATTTGAGGACAGTGTGAAAAGTCATACTACTTGAGAGTGCACTCACTTTCTGGTAAAACAAATGTGTAAAAAATACATAATGTACATAACTATGTTCCTTTTTCAATCTTAGCTTGATTTAAAAACAACTTTCACATTCACTTTTTTTTACAGGAAAGATGTTGTGAGCTACCGTAAAATGCGGAATATAGGTCGAGGCAGAATATAGGTCGACCCCCTTACCTAAACCAGCAAAAAAAAAAAAAAAAAAAAAATGCGGAATCGTTCACGGATTCACTTTATTCAGTCCTCCGAGCTGTCGGAGCTCTCCTCCGACGACGACTGCTTATCACTCCTCCAATAGCATGTCGTCCTCAGTGCCGTCGAGAGTGTTGCTGATGCAGCACTTCTTGAATGCGCGCACCACTATCTCTTCAGGCAGATACAGTCAAACCTCAATATATTGTAAGAGAACTTGTTGTTGGGCTAGTTGGTAGAGCATTCCGAAAAGTTAATTCGAGCATTAATGCGTTATTGATTTTTTATTTCGAACAAAGTTTGACATATAATGGATATATCGAACTCAGCCACCCCAAACCGCCCGCGCTCCATTGACAGGCGGCGAGCTTTCCCGCAACTCTAGAAAGTAGCGGTAGAACAGCGGGCGTTTACGAATGCTGCACATATCGATGGCGCCAAGAGCACCACTTTAACGTAGCGGCGTACGCGCACCGCAGCCTTGCGGTAGAGGTTCTTGAATGAGGAAAGTGAAGAGAAAAGCGCGGAGCTGTTATTTTCTTTCAATATGAAGGCACCGACATGGCTTCGCGCGGGGGAAGGAAGAGTGGGAGGTAAAGAATAGAAGGGAAAGGACGCAGACGAGTGTCTCGGACGCGGCCCGCGCTGCCGCCGGGAAAGAGAAAGCAGTCAGGAGAGCCGGCATGAGCGCGCCATGTGCGCGCTTCACACCCGGACTCTTAGGCACTGTGCCGTGCTCCCGACAGAGTTGCAGAAATTAGGTGCCTTTTCTCATCTTCTAACCACTACCACCACCACACCCGGACTCACGCCGCAGCCTTGCAGCTTGCAGTCGTTGCAGTCTCTATGGTGTCAACGGCACACTGCGCACTTGTTGCAAGGTCCTCCCCCATAGCTTCGGCAGGCATCGGTCGTTGTGCTTGCACTGTTCGCACGTTCGGAGTTGGGCCTGTCGCGCACTGTTCGGAGTTGGGCCTGGCGCGCACTGTTCGGAGTTGGGCCTGTCGCGCGCTGCGCGCGACAGGGCTAACTCCGCACGGCGGAGCTCACGGATGTGGAGATTGTCGCCGAAGCTACTGCTGAGCAGCCAAGTGAAGACTGCCGAGGCAAATCCCGCAAGCGCTGATGGTGCCCCGCTCCCGACATCAGCTGAGGTCGTAGCTGCCTTGGCCCTTGTGCGCCGCCACTGCGGCGCGATTGAAGGCACCGGCCTATCACTTATGGATTGCCTGGACTATATTGAGGACGCAGTCGTCAAACACGCCATGGCCAACAAAAAGCAGGCTACTCTTTTTCAATATTTTAAACCAACACAATAAATACTATATTTGAATTTTCAAGTGAGTATTTACTGCACCACGCTTGAACGGTTTGATGATCGTTTTCAGCAAGCTGTTGACGCATTTTTTTCGTGATTTTTTTATATCGAATTCTGGATATATTGAACTATTTCGCGATCGCCGCGCCGTTCGATATACCGAAGTTCAACTATACCTCCATGCCTCGGAGGCCCAACCAGAAACTGTCGCGAGAGGTGGCCTGCGCAACCAGCCTGTCGGGGTCCGCGGGTTGTCGCCAGCCATCTATTCGGTGTACAGCGCACGCACACGGTCTTTGAAAGGTTTATTAAGGACGATGTCCAGCGGTTGGAGTGTTGGCGTCATCCCTCTCGGATTAGCGACAACATCCGCCTTTCTATCACAAAAGCTCTCCTTCACTAATGCCGTTAAGTGCCCGTGAAACACATCCAACAGGAACATGTTCCGGTGCTGCAGGAGTGCTCCAGGCCGCCGGTTCCACACTGTGCGGAACCACTCGCGCATTAGGGCCTCATTCATATACCCCTTCTTGTTGACGCGGACGATGGCATCCCGCGGGAAGGCCTCTTTCGGCATCATCTTCCGCTTGAAGATGATGAAGGGGGGCAACTTTCTGCCGTCGGCCGTGCAGGAAAGCATAACGGTGAAGCGCGAATGCTCGCTTCCGGTCGACAAAAGCTTCACCTCTTTGGCCCCGTGCTCACAAACAGTCGTGGACGACGGCATGTTGAACCACACCGGCGTTTCGTCGGCGTCGCCGATCAGGCCTAGCATGTAGCCATGCTGCCGCCGGAGGCTGTTCACGTAGAGTTGAAACTCTATCAATTTGTCCTCGTACATCTCCAGCAGCCTCTGGCATGAAGCGACAGAGCCAATGAATGAATCCCTTGAAGTCTTTCTTTGACAGACCAACTTCACGGGCGAGCTCGACGGCTTTTGATCGAATGAGTGCTCCGCATTCACTGGCAGGGATCTGGCACGGTACTCGCGGGCGAAATCCACCACCTTGTCCTCGAGCTTTGGGAGAACAGCTCGGCGACCGCGAAACGACGTCTTCGTGTTACACACCGACAGTTTGGATATTTGGTTGCACCAGTCCCTGACGTCAGTGGAGTAATTCGGTCTTTGCACCAAATCAGATGCACGCATGGCATTAAAAAAAGTCATAATACAACAAAAACCTCGCTACTCTCACTGTCGGGCAGTTTGGGGCAACGTACACTAGGAGGATGCGGCAGCGCATGTGGTGCAATGGCTGCGTCCGTCATTTTGTTTACTTAGAGGCACACTTGCACATGTGTACGCGGGTTGTTCTCGTCATTTAAGCTGGCATGTGCCACAGGTGCTACTTCCACAAAGACAACAAGGTCGGACGATGAGACACAGGCACAAAAATAACATGTATGTCGTGCTACAAATCCGTCAGTGCCCACTGCCATCATTTCCGAGGTACTCTTTGCTTCCCGTGTAGCAGCGAACCACCAAAATGACACTTCGCGAGCGTAAGCACACTCGTTCAAAGTGCACTTAAGTTGCCACGTGTGACAGCAGTATTAGAACTCCGGACTTGAAGAGAGCACACCCTTGTCCACCACATCAGTTGGGCGTCCACAGAAGTTGATTGATTGATTGATATGTGGGGGTTAACGTCCCAAAAACCACCATATGATTATGAGAGATGCCGTAGCGGAGGGCTCCGGAAATTTTGACCACCTTGGGTTCTTTAACGTGCGCCCAAATCTGAGCACACGGGCCTACAGCATTTCTGTCTCCATCGGAAATGCAGCCGCCGCAGCCGGAATTCGGTCCCGCGACCTGCGGGTCAGCAGCCGAGTACCTTAGCCACTAGACCACCGCGGCGGGGCAACCATATTCTGGTGGAAACATGTTTGTTAGTACTGTAGAGAATAAAATACATTTTGAACTATGGCGAATTCCATTTGTATTTTTTCACACAGTATGTAGTCCCCAAATTTTCACATATTTTTATTTTATTTCCTGTTTCGGCTGGTCAAGTTGAAAGAGGAGGAGAGGCAGGGAAACAGCATGTTTGCCTTATATAAAAAGTGTTACACTCAAAATGTGCACCAAATCACGTAGATAAATACTACAAAAACATGTCATCTGCATTTCCTTACTCTTGATAAGACAACTACGAAAGATCACCCTGTCAGCACTTCATCATACAAGCCAAAAGAAACACTTTCATGTTGCTATTTCATAAGAATATGCTTAGAGATTCTTTCCAATATTTTATGTGCTTCGACGCACTCAAAAAATATCATAAAAGTATGCGAAAAAGAGTTGATTAGATTTGCACTCACACTTCAATATTCAAATTCACTTGGCACCTAAATTCTTGCTTTTTGTACAACTTTTGTTTTAACCAATAGTACATTTCCAATAAGTACATATTGACATATTGATGAGATCTTACTGAGGGCAAATGGTGGATGAACTTTACGCATGCAAGAAAAAACTAGCATGCCAAAAATTGGCCGCTGACTCTGCCTGTTATCCTCTCCATGTGTCGCATGGAAACCAGTGTTTTGCAATGCTGGTGCAAAATGTATTAGGCAACTCACGGCAAGGAACTGTGCCAGCTTCTGATCTTTCTTCTGCCTTGCCTTCAGGGCCTCCAGGGCTAGAGACTGATGCTGGCAAAATGTGGCCACTGCCTGCTGGAGTCGTTCGCCAGACTCACCGTCAAGCTGCGTGAACCATTCATCATGGTCGTGGAGGACACACAAGCAAAAACTGCTGCAGAAACATCAGTTTCTCATCGAAACATAAAACATTGTGAGTTGGGCAACTAAAGGGGACACACGAGAAGGAGCGGAAGAGTACAGGTGCACATTAACAACTCTAAGTTTTCGTTATTGTGCGCCTGTACTTGTTTGTTTTTTCTCGTGTGTCCCGCCTAGTTGCATAATCCATGATGGTTTTTAGTATGTCAAAACATCAACTCGCCCAACAGTTAAACTCTTTTTAAGTTCATCGAAACAACCTAAGCTGTCGCCCCAATCCACATAACTTACATATCAGGTTAAGCTATGTAAAGGATGATAAATCATAAATACTTACTACCCAATTGTATAGAAGTAACTCTTGGGTGAGATTGAAAACCCTGGTTCATGTCTGCCGACACTGTTTAATATGGCTGGAAAAAGTATACTTTGCTACTTTGCTACGAGAGTCCCCACAGCCACTACATTACTCCTAGTTTCAGGGAAGAAAAATAAAAATAAAACAAAGAAAAAAAGAGAGAAGAAAATCTGTCTGCCAAAAAAAGAATTGGGAAGTCCTTAGTGAGCCAGAACCACTTTTCGCAAATGGTGCAAATATGGGACTTTGACAAGATTCTTAAAAAGTAGCTGTTGGTTACAATATTTTTCTTGAATAGCACGAGTTTTAAAAGTGTTATCTCGCAGTCTTGTGGCTCTATTATGAAGAGCAAAAAAATTGCAAATATGGCATATTGTTGAACAATACTCAAATTTCAAATTTTACTCGCTCCTCTTCTATATAAGTAAAAATTTTGCAAATTTTCACAGCGTTTCCACATGCAAAGCCAGCGATTATGACAAATATGATTGCTCAAAATGACACTGAACGTAAACCAAAATGTTTAAGTAAGGGCATACCTCTATATATGCCATATATTGTAAGTCATTAAAAAAAAGAAACAAGATTTTCTTTCAATTCCCCAGAATTAAAGCAAGGCATATGCTATAACTTAATCTACAAAAACATGTTGCATTGCTTTCGCGAGATTGAAGTCAGAAAGCTGCCAATTGACATATCATGCAACAACTTAAAGGAGCTCTGCAACATGCGGCAAACCTGCATAATTTGCAGCCTATGCAAATGCCCATTTTTCTTTTTTTTTTTTCCTGCTTTAGGGCAAATTTTCAATTTTTTAAAGCAGGCTTACCACTCTGGGAATATGCTTAGAATCATAAAAGGGGACCTAGAAAATTCGGGGTACAATTTGAAAAATATCAAACTGGTAGACACCTTGCTATTATTCAGAAAAGCCACACTCCAATTTTTATGAGTAGCAGGTCATTCACTATCTACATGTGTACAGTCTTGATCAACCAAATTGCATTTTTTTTGCTTGTTACTGCTCAACTGTGCAATGAAGCTTAAACACTGCAGTTTGAGTTTGAGTTTAGTTTATTTACCACGTACAGTTGTAGAGTAAGTCTTTATTTAATGCCCTAGCACATTGTCTAGTAGAAATGAAAACTGCTGTTATCTGTAAACTGAATCGTTGATCAAGCTGTTTACCACACTAAGTAGCCTGGTATAAATATTTGCTCAGAGGAGCAACAGAGCATCGCCGCCTTAGCGCCATTGGCATGTGGTCGAACTAAGTATATGGTAGGCAGTGTTTGCTTTTTCATAAGTCTTCAAAAAAACACATTTTTCATTCCTGCTGATTGAAAAAATGAAGTGTATTGATGACACTTGTACTGCAGTCTAATTATACAGCAATAAGTGCGGAATGCCATGTTCGCATATTTGAAATCTGTAGTGAGGTGGTAAAAAAACAGAATTGAGTAGTTTTTCTGTTAAATTACCAACATGCAAGGTACGTTGCTTAATCATCCATATCTTAAAAAAATCCTTTGGGTTGCATTGTGCTTCAGTCAGCATGCCCCAACCATGGACAGCCTGGTTTGGCCAAGAGTCCGACTTAACATTTCACTTTAGCTGTTTTGGCTAGGCGGTACACAATATTAAATTGCAGTGCATATAAGGGGACTTGCTTGGACGAGTTGCAGTGTGCAAGATTGTAACAATGAATGCAGTGCATAACAACAAATTTTTTTTTCTGCTGATTCTAAGCACATTTCCAGACTGGTAAGCCTGCTTAAAAATTGAAAACTAATTGAAAATTTGCCCTAAAGCAAGAGAAAAAAAAAGGAAGATGGGAATTTGTATAGGCTGCAAATTATGCAGGTTTATTATATTCCTATGGCTAAAACAATTCCAGTAAATTTAAATAATTCTACTAAATACACAACAGCTGTGAATCTATAGAAAGAACAACTGCTTCGTTAGCATTGGCAATGATTTTATTTTCCAAAGACTCAATTTCTCATTGAAGCATAGGGATCTGAAACTGCATCTTGCCTAGTGCTAGTTGAGCACACTTGCACATATGAATGGCTTTCTTTCTCTGGTTGTTACTCATAAGCCACTCCTGCTTTATAAGCACACTAAGGGCTACGACCATGTCTAACATACTATCTACCTTTTACAGCAACTTCTGAGATCCCAGCCTGCTAAGTTTTCATCGTTTCAATGCTCTGTATGGAGACGAGGCACAAAAACATTGATATATTTAATTCTCAATCTGTAGAAACATAAATAACTGACAGTGAAGTTATGCCATGCTACCATTAACACGAGCTAAAACATGCGGAGTTTAGAACACCTGAATGAGATTCCCCTGCCCAACAAGTTCTGTAATACACTCCAACCTCATCATGAGAAAGTTGTATATTACATGCAAATAAGCTTGTTATATTGAAAAATTCACCATAAAGGCTTATTCCTAACCCTATTTTTATTACATGACTATATTTTTTTTACTTCGTTATACCCAAAGTTTTGTTATATTTGGGTTCCGTATATTGAGGTGTGAGTGTAATGATTTTGGCCTTACCAGAATTTCTTCATGCCAAGCTGAGATCGTGACTAAGACAGACAAGCACATATTTGATTTATGCTTGGGAATATATATGCTGCATAATATGTAGAAACAACAGTTATGCCTTTTCTTTTTATACTACTTCTTAGCTATTCACTGTGGTTGCAGCTTTGATCACAGGTAAACATGACTTCAGTGATGGTTTTGCATGCTGCTATATGTCAGCTTCTGTGGCAACATGAGGTTTTTTCAAAAATGCATGACGGCTATTCCCCGACCTTTCCAAATATGTCTAAATTCTCGACTATTTTGAATACTTCTGCTCTGCAACACAGACAACACTAACCATGGCAAGCATCATGGGGCCGATGTCGCCTATGAGTGGCTCCTGAGCTCGCCGCCGCTTCATTAGGCTGCTGAAGCCTTGATGAATCCGCAGCAGCTCGTCCAGGTTAGGGAAGAGCCGCTGCAGTAGTTCAGGAGCCAGCAGCTCCTGCTGCTGCAGGGGTCGCCGAAAGATGCGCTCAAGCACCTTGAGCGTACGCACATGCGACCGTTCCGTGTGGAACAGCTCGTTCAGCACATCCTGTCGCTTCTTCTCCTTGGGTTTGAGCTGCCGCAGGGTCTCGCGGCCCAGTGCAGCCTGCCAGTCCGGCGGCTCCAAGTCCCACTCCAAGGTCAGAGTCATCGAATGGACCAAGTGCGGGCACTTCACCGCGATGCACCGCCTCCCAGGACTGACTCGGACTCTCCAAGCTCCTGCTGGCGGATGTGCCACGCTTGTCATTCAAGCAGCACTTCAGCTAGCTATTTGCAATGCTAAATAACTTCTATTTGCCACAACAACTCTGCCTCTTTGAAGCCCCACCACCACATATAGACTAAAATGACCAATGACTGGCCAGAGTGAACTTCCTCGAGTGTCTCATTCCTACTTAAGCCGAAGGAGAAACTTTCTATGCACCCACTCTTTGTTGTAACACCTGAAGACATACTGAGGAGCTTACTAGTGAGTCATCAAGGTGTGTCAAGGCTGCTTGTCAGGTAGAACAATCTTGAGATCCGACACACCGCTTTGGAAAGTAAAGGTGCTCCATTTTGACCTTCAATTGAACTAAAAGTCATAATATGTATGACAAATTATTATAGCTTAAACCAAGGAACAATGAAATGTAATAAAAATATAGAACTGCAATCTAGTCACCACTGCTAACTAATAACTTTTCACAAAATCTGGAGTGCACTGGATTGTGATGTGGTAGCTTTGTCAAGAGAAAACAAAAAAATTACCAACAGTGCTTGATAAGACACTATTACACTAAGGCACATCTGTTGCAGCACACATGCACCCATTGTGTCTTTTGCTCTCATTTACGTGCCACAAGAATTTTGATTCCCTAAACTATCATCCAACTACAAGTGCAGTTTCTCAGCCAAGGGCCCAGCAATGAGCTAGCCTCAGACACAGAATTTTGGTGAAAAGGAGCGAGTCCTAATTGGTGCACAGCCAATGAAAAAGCAAGGCTTCTTCCATATGTCGCTCACACCAGTTACTCACTAGTGTTGCTTGAAAGCGCAGCGCGAGACATTGACGAGGAAAAGAAACATACGACGCGCGAAACCGCATAGCCACAACAACATCACTGCAGGGCCAAGGCACACTTTCCTAGTGTAAAGAGCCAATTGGTAAGCTCAGTGCTATGCAAATTTGCCCGTGGGCAACACTATGCCACTACATGGGTAAAGAAGACTGGACAAGCGTCGGAGAGGAGTGCAGAAAATGTTTTTCGATACGAAGAATTTCTGCAATGCATAATGCTGTGATACTCCCTAAATGTGTTTGTTCTGGACTCCTGCACAGATGTGCAAGCTAGTTTGCAGTAAAATATAAAAAATGCACGTTTACTGGCTCTTTCAGATTGAATGCAGTGTTTGGCAGCACCTAGCGAAAACAGTGTGGCTTTGTTAGCATTGACATTGTTATTTAGAGACATGTTACAAAAAGAAAATAGCACAGAAAGCTTTAATGACCAACTAAAAAACAACCTTTTAGTATTGTCTACTATTGTAAAGTGTCAACACAATCAGCTACTGCACATCAACTGCGTTGCGAGCACCGTCTTTCGGAGATTTCCTATGGTGTGCAAGAATTTATCTGTCATGGGGATGCTACAAGTGTTCGATATAGAAATTACATAACATATCCAGGTTTGACTTTATTACTGAGCACTTGATCCTGCTAGAGAACATACAAAATAACTTCGTTACACGTTTTATTTTGCCTTGGCTTAGTAACACTACCTGGCAATGAAGCCACTTGTCTCTGAGGGCCTGCTTTTTCAAATGATTCTGGTTTGCAAGGCTGCATCACAATGACATTCAAATACAATCACCATTAGAAACTTTCCTTCCCATGGCATGAAACTTCTAAGAATTGAGAATAATAGCCATGTACACACAGCCTACAAAACTGCAACAGTATATAGCATATCGCATGTAGTGCGCAAGGTAGGTAGGAGTACGCTTACCTGGTAGAAAGGCTGGAGTTAGATGAACTGCCCGAGTTGTTGAGGTTGGTTGGCTTGTCATCAACGTCCACATCGCTGCACAAAGAAAATCAAGCACCGTTTGTAATGGTCATTGCATCAGCCTCTTCAGAGTTCGATGCCTTGTCTTACAATGTGCCAGACCAATTGCCAGGCAAAGTGTTAAGTCAAAATAGAATTTGCCAGTTACACCTCGTCTGCAGCACATGCATATGGTCTTTAAACATTAGCTTTTATACGGTTTAACATCTTTTATGCAGCATACCTCCACACCAAATCACACATAAAACAAATTTTTCAGTCCAAGTTATTTGTTGACAAAGGGCGCCAACTCATTGTACCATCATTTGACATGTCTAATGTAATTATGCAGACTATGTGACCCTCCTTAACCAAATACAAACACAGCCCACAGAAAAAGCCTTCAATAACATGTACATGTCACAGGATTTGACAAACAATAGCATGTGCATTCAAATTTCCGCCAGCTGTTGTGCTATTACGTTTGGGCTGTCACATTGTGTGTACCACTGCACATCAAGTTTGTCTAAGAAAGACAGCAGCGTGTACACTCACCTCTTAGACCTTGGGATGTTGGGGTCGCTACGCTTCCGATAAGATGGCCGCGTTTCTCTCTGCACATAAAGACAGTCCACCACTGTTAACATCACTTCACATTCATTGTAACCAGAATCATAGCTTGAAGTTGTGCGAGGGGTGGAAGGGGGCACCCCTAAATTATCTCCCTGACTATGCCACTGGTTTTAACTTGAAGTTTTCTACAAGCCTGTTTAGCAACTGCTGTGGAATGTGTCACTGTAGCTCACTGGCAGCCCCAAAATATCGCCACGTTCCTTTCCTAAAGTTTTGTTATCACCCTGTTACAGTACGTTCAGCCCAAACCGTGCCTACGATGTTCAAGAAGATTCGAGGCTTTAGTAGATAGTTTTGTTAAGATTACGCCCACTTCAGGAACCTCACTGATTATTGGGGAACCTACATCGCCGCTAGCGATAACCCTAGAATATTCGATGGCAAGAGTATAAATGCCGACACGCCCCACCGCTTATCAGTTAATTGACAACGGACACTCCACTCCATTCGCCGGAATCAGTCTAAGACTGCTGCTGTAATCCGACTGTTTATTTGGGCGAACCTGTGCCTAGTGAACGGAGTTTATTATTCGACTCGCAGTGTGCTCCATTCGTCGACGTCACGACTCCGGTGACAATATCTAGATTTCATTATAGCCAACAGTCTAATTCATACTGGCAGGAAGAAGAGGAAACATTGTGCCTTCTTCAAAAGCGAAGCTGTTTTTAACAGCCTTTCACGTCCGCCGGCCATTAGCAGATAATAGACCAGAGAAAGTGGGTGAACCTCACTACAAGTAAATGCCACTCCTGCCACGAAGCACACCATATGCCCACTTCATTCAACCCCACTGCATTCGAATCTCACTCAATCAAATCAGGTAAAATATTGGACGAAGCGAAGGCTCTTCCGTAACCCACAAGCTTTGCTGTTCCATGAGTCTGCCAAGAGGAGCTGGCAGAATTTTTTTTTCAGACGGCCACAACCCTTTCTTCACTAAGTACACTACACCATCAACAATATATATATATCAACATACAACAATATAAATAGTTTTGTGCACAATTTTTCCACTGCATGGCAATAATTTTCTAAACTGTTTCAGAGAATAAAGGAGTCAGCAAAAACGGCTATGAGCGTTGTGGAGCAATCTCAAGGGAGCATGGATGTCTGAAGTGATAAAAAGTCAAAGTTGTGTAACTGAAGGAAATTTTCTGACAAGTGGATCTAAATGGTATGACAAACACGGTTGTTATTCCCCTTATCCATCACCCCTAAAGCAAGAAAAAAAACTATTGTAGTACGATAAAGCACAAAATAATACAAGAGCAAATTCCGATCAATATTTTCGCACGTTCCAATCGTCAGTTGGACCCTTTTGTCAATTGGTCCGGCTGACCTGATTGATAATGAGGACGAGGCGTCGTTAGGGCTACCCCAGAAAAAAAAAAAAAAAGAAGCAGTGGCCCATCTGCTGAGGCTCTACCTGTGTCTGAGCACTATCCTATTGCGCCACTCACTGACGACGGCCACGCCAATGTGTGGGTGGAATCCCCGGCTGAATATGTCCCAAACGTCGCGGGCAGTGGTCCGTGAAGTGGCGCGCACACTATGCCGAAAAGGTGTTTTACCTTGTTGTGCCTCGTGTCCGAGAGGACGCGTCGGCCAGCGGGTGGCCGCTCGGAGCGTCGCGACGGCATCGCGGGACTGGGGCCGCCGTGGACCCGCGCCATGCAAGCCCAAGGTCGCGCCCCAAATAGCGCGCCCTGGACGCGCGCCAGCCGCTCCTTTCGCCAGGTTCGGCTGCGCAGCGACAGTGCATGGACAAGTGCTGCCGCACCTACGTACTAACGGCTCCAGCGGGCGGAGCGCGCGGGTCCAACAGGGCCGCGGCTTGCCGAGCGAGCTTGCGACCCTCTCCACGCGAAAGGATGTCGGCGCTGTACCGTTTCGGAAGACGGTGATGCGCGCGCATTCATTTTGCACGCCCGCGTGGTGATTACCGCGCCGCGGAAACCGACAGCGCGCGGTGAACGCAACGCATGCGAAGCGAACGGGGATCGCGGCAGCGGTAGGAAGAGCATCGACACAGACACGGTTAGTCCGGGTCACTGGGGGAGGAGGTAACGGTAGTGTGGGGAAGAGGCAAATAACCAACGCTTCTCCGTATTTTCGGAGCGGGGCCGAGATGCCGCTTCGTTGAACGTGTGGACGTTTCGGGTCGGGTCTAGTGAGTGACCCTCCCCCCAACGCTCCCGCACGTGACGGCCCCGACTCTGGCAGAAGCGACGCTGACAAAACAAGCGAGAACCACCGCAAAACGGCACAGCATACGTTGACGTAACGACACCACGGAGAACAGAAAAAACAAAAAAAAAGTGCCCGGTCGGCGCGCTGGGAGAAAAAGTGTGAAATAGATGACGTCCACGATGACGTCTTGCAGAAGCATCACGGATGTGCCACATGCATTGAGCACAATGGCGGCGTTGCTATGGTTACGTAGTGCGGCGCGGTGCACAACGGTGGCGGCATGTGCGCATACATAGTAAATACGTAGCTCTTGTACCGAGCCGCGGCGGCCTGGAGTTATTCGACGGTGTGCTGCGTTTTTAGCTACGCGGAGTTCTCGGGGCGGTTGTTGTAGCCAGGCGGTCTGAACAAGTGTGCATTCACTTGCAGCGCGACGGATTAACAGTGCTCAGATAAATCACGCTAAGATAGCACGACAAAACGAAAAAATGTGCAACACAATCTGCCCGATGAACACCTTGCAGGCCAGTAACACTTGCGCAGTGTTCCTCATAGTCACAGCCGACATTTTCGCGCCCCTCAAGACGAAATACCGTCGCCGTAGTCTACTTTTCAGCGTTACATAGGTCTACAATAACAACCCACTTGTGGGTGTTAACATTTATTTTCTACATTGGCTACATCAGTGGGGATCGTACCCGGGTCATTTGCGTGACAAGCGGGTGTTCTGTTTACCACACAGCTACGCCTCTTTTTTTTCTTCTTTATTGCAGTGCTTCAACAATTTTCGACAGAACAATTGAATTATGAAAAACAAAATCAATATAAAAACAATATGAAAAAAAAAAACAAAAGTAGCAGCATGAAACAAAAGTGTTTTCAAAGAGACATACAAATTGCAGGTGCTTGTCGGAACAGTAATTTGGCTAGTCCGCAAAGGCATCATAATTTTCCCGTGCGCTCATAAATTCAAGATATTACTGCATATCTCAGAATATTCATGGTTAACTTCTTTCACCGCGAAAACGCTAAGTGATTTTTACCCACGGTTATCGCGGTGGCCAGGAGTGTTCAGATGGTTTCGGAACGCCACGCCGCCCAAGTGGGTTTTCAGACGTAAACGAGAAGAGAATTTGAACAGTTTTGATGGTTCTTATGAAGCGCAACACGACACACGTACACGAGAATGCACATAAGATCATTCGTGTCCGTATATGGGTTCGCGCTCCATCAGAAATGTTCTTCAGATGATTCACGAAGATTGCAACCCTTGCCGGTCAATATGGCCGACTTCCGGCTTCGCACAAGAGTGACGTCAAAGCCTCCTCTTCCATTCACCATGAGCGGTACTACGTAACTCTGCCAATGTTCCTGCCTATCCACTTCCGGTGTCGATGCACACCGAAGAGCCTACAACGATCGATGTTCACGAGAACGACACCATGTCAACATGCAGGCAGAGAAGGCTTGATGCCCTGCGCTCCATTGCAAATTGTAACCGCGTTCGTGAAGGCAGGCGGCGCTGAATGTCAGACGTTTAGTTGGCTTAAATAACAGCCGCTTTCGCTGATCTCTGGCAGACACGTCTTCATGCAAAGTAGAGATGCCTCGACGCAAAGCGCGGTTTGCTTCACGCGCTAAGGAAAACGCCGGCTTCGATTTTTGGTTAAAAAAAAAAATAAGGCACTCGCCGTAAGTTCGCGGTGTCAATTCGGAAATCGTGGGTTTACTTCGCGTCATTTGCCCGACAACGTTTCCAACATCAAGCTTCGGTGCGCCGTTCACGATGAGCACAGACACGGAAAGGACAAGCGACACTCGAGCAACTGTTTGCGATCTTTCTGCTAGCTCATGTTTAGTAATCCACATCACTATGCAATACCTAATACGGAGACGACGCCTGCGGGGAGCGATAAAACAGAAAACCGCGCGCTGCAAAGCACGCCCATGCAAGTCAACAACAAAAAAAGAGGGGGACGGGGACGTCAACCACATGCGGAAGCGAGTTGTGCCGTGTTTGCATGTCCCCGCCCGTATGCAGACCGCAGGGATTGCGTCGTATAATGTGTTTAACGACGGACTGCCGCGCCGGCGTGCGCGAAGCCGCGCAGCGATGGCGAAGCTATACGGCTTGCAACCGACCAGACGAGAGAAAACGTCACGCGTGGAAGCTTGTCTAGAGGAGGCAAATACTGCAGCGTATAGCACCACTCGTCTAACCACTGGGAAACGGTACAACCACTGTGAATAACTTCTGGTCATTTAAACATTCGCAGCGGTACAAGACTTCGATAATGTCATCATGCGCCGTAGCGTGAAGCGTCAATTTTCTTTTTAGCTTCCCCCCCCCCCCCCTCAGATGGAACGCTGAAAAGAAGCATAAAGCGTAAGGCGATGCGGGCTGCCACGCTATTTTGATTGATTGAATGATTGATTTGTGGGGTTTAAGCCCAAACTACATAAGCGCGAAAATGCACGCGACAGCGACGAGCGACGCTATGAGCGACGAAACATGGCGTTCGCGCGACGTGTCGCGTGCTCGTTTTCGCGCGATAGGTCGGTTCTCCAGATTTGGAAACCGTCGCTCATCGCCCGGAAGTGCTGGGCTCAAGCAGCCAATAGCGAAAAACCGGAAAGGACGAAAACTACATAGGTGCACGTGACCCTGCCCGAGTCACGTATGCGCAACAAGAAATAACGCAATGTTTATTAAGCATGCGCATATAAAAAATGCTGCAAGGCAATAATAAACACTTTCCGTTCCATTACACAACAATATATCTTATTTTTA